CGAAGAGGATGGGTTGGTTAGATGCAAAGGAGGAGATTTTGTCGTATGTGCGTTGGCGAGTAGGTGGCGGGATGGCGGCGTCGAGGGAGGTTTGCGCGTAGGAGTAGGCGGTTGAGAGGAGGGTTTGTGGGCGTTTGGTGGTGTTGTCTGAGGAGCTGCTTTTGGTTACTGGGGCGGCCATGTTTTCTTTCGAGGAAAGAGATGTCCTTGTATGCAGTTTGTACTATTTCGGTGTGGTTTGTCGGACCGTGGTGGAATTGGAAGTATGGAAGAATGAGAGATGTTGGGTGTGAATGCGGGATGGGATGTTTTGGTGATACCGTAGTGAGGTATAAGGCAGATTAAGATCAATGACAGGGAGAGGCGATTGCGTGTGGGGGTGGCTGGCAGTGGCTGCGGCTGCGGCTGCACAAAATGCGGAGATGGAGAGGAAGCAAGGACGGTTGCTGAAGATTAGAGAATATGAGAACAGAATTGCTATTACTGAATGAGGGGGCAGTTTGAAATGCTCTTGTTTTGTGTTTCGCTTTTGTGCCTGATGGGGTGACTTTTCGGGCATGCGAATGACGTGGGAGGTTGCAGTGGCTGATGTCACGCAGGTTTGCAGGCGTTTGCGGACGCGGCAGCTGTGGTTCGAGGGGAGGTTCGTTGGGCATCATGATAAGGATCGAATGGGCGTCTTGGGTATATATGAGCTGCAGGTCGTTGTGGGTGTTGTTTTGCATGTGCTGGAGGATTGTGGTCCTATTTGGTAGATGTTGAGCACATGTATGGGTAGAGATACTCGAACCTGTTTAAGACAATGCTATTGGCATGTGATAACGAATGGGATCAAGGTCCTGTCCTGCATGGTCTTGATAAAGCAGGTTGTCTTTGATGCATTCACTTTCCTGCGAATTATTTGATGCCATTGTGTCTCAGAACTGCAGGGACGCAATTTCCATAGCAACAGCGGATCCGATATGTCTCTTCAACCACATCACTGTTACCCATGTTGGACGCTCTTCTTCCATCATGTTTAAGACTCACTATACCCAGTACCGTAGTAGTAAAATTGTGATTCAGTTTATTTACACATGTGATTATAATACAGGCCGCTACCAAGTACCAGAAAGGAATCTGTGATTAACAGGATCACGGCGTCGGGCAGCCCTACCCTACAAGAATTGCTGGACCGCTGGTAGAATTGGCAGAATAAGGTAGGCATTCTCGACAGGGCGGAGGATAAAGGCGGATTCACAGCTTCAGAATCCGGCACTTGGAAAACAAATCTAGTATCGCAGGGGCAGTAACTCATCCTCATTGCATGATTCGAATAATCGAACTGCATGTTGATAGGACGCTCAACATGCTGCTACGAAGTATAAGCCGTGCCAGTCCCAGCAACGCCAATACAGGGATGCTTATTCCGGGCTAGCCAAGATGAACAAGATGGACACTTCGATACTGCGATATTCAGGAACAGATCTGGTAGCCAAAAGCCAACGCAAGGCCCATACAAGGCACCATTCTACTGGCACATGGACTCGGAAGTTCTCATGAAAAAAAAGGAAAGCATGTCCAGTATGACGTCGAAAGCTGCGACAGGGATTCACGAGCTCGGAATTGCCCCTTTGGCGGGCGGCAATCCACTGCTCCCGGATGATACAGAATGCAGCTACGCAAGGCACCTGATTGCACTGCAAAAAGAGCAGTGATTCGAGGTATCCCGAGTACCCCGCCATGTACCCCGCTGTCCCGCCAGACAGGCCTCTTCTTCAAGGCACGACCCCTCCAAAAAGTGTCGACTTGGGGTTGGAATCTGATTCCGCATCTCAACCCCCATCATCACCGCGTCTCACAGCCATTGACTCGCCAAGATGGAGTACGATCCCAAGATCCGTACGTCAAACCCACCATATACTGCTTCCATCACCCTATACAAGCTTCAGCTAACTCGCGATGCAGCAAAGTCGGCGACCAGCGACCCCAAGTCCTTTGCCAGCGACTCCGTCCGCATGCGATGGCCCGTCATCATCGTGAGTGATGCCCGTCACACTAAGCCCGGCCTCAACCCAGTCTCTTACTGAATTCGAATATCCTTTGAAAGACGAGCGCCGTGGACGACGTATACAAGACCGTTTCCAGCACAGACGATGCCGAGAAGCAGGCCGAGGGCAAGAGGATTATCGAGCAGCTGGGCAACCTCAAGTACGAGATGCTGCACGATCGCAAGCTGACGTACGCCCCAATTGCTGACTCCATGTACAACACGCGACTCAAATGCTGATTTGGTACAGGCCTATCCCTGATGATGGCTTCTCAGAGGAGGTTGCTGCCTACAACAAGGAGCTGGAGCAGCTGGGCACTCCCTCCTGGTTCCAGGTCCCTTGGCTCTTTGCCGAGTGCTACATGTACCGGTATGTCGCAAGCTGATGCTTGATTCCGATTGTTTACTGACCATGCTAATCCTTGTATAGTCGCATCTCCAGCTTCTTCAGAATGACAGAGAAGTGGAGGAGCTATGACATCTTTGCCCGCCAAAAGACCGACACATTCCGAAGCTCTCGCAGTGCCGTCGTCGAGCTCGCCGCCAGATACGTAGACATCATCTCAAAGATCCGCGCCGACAAGAACGCCGCCCACGACGCCGAGGCCGAGAAGATCCTCTTCATCGAAATGTGCGAGGTCTGCTTGTGGGGCAACGCCACCGACTTGTCGCTCCTCACCAACATGACCTACGACGACATCCAAAAGCTGCAGGGCAGCGAGGCGAGAAAGGCTGCCGAGAAGAACATACTCGTCAACAACCTCCCCGAGACCTATAATTTGCTCAAGAAGGCCCGGGCGGAGGGCAAGAAGGAGCGCCGCGTGGACTTTGTTCTCGACAATGCCGGTTTCGAGCTCTACGTCGACCTGGTCCTGGCCGGCTTTCTTCTCAACACAGGCCTGGCTACCCACGTTGTGCTTCGGCCCAAGTCCATCCCTTGGTTCGTCTCTGACGTTCTCCCCGCCGACTTTGCTGCCCTGCTCAGCGCCCTCGCCGACCCTAAGCGATTCTTCGAAGCCCCGACGGAGGAAGAAAAGGTCGCCGACAGGACGCCTCCTCCTCTGTCAGAGAAGGAGGTGGAGAATCTGCGTTCTGTCTTCCACGACTGGGCGGGTATGCACGGCGAAGGCCAGATGAGTATCCGACCCAACAGATATTGGACCGCGGCTGGCTCTTTCTGGCGACTTCCTCACGAGGCCCCCGAGCTGTACGAGGATCTGAAGGAAGCTGAGCTCGTCATCTTCAAGGGTGACTTGAACTACCGGAAACTCGTTGCTGATGTAAGTGACTCGTTTGGCGAGATTCACGTCTCCGATTACTGACGTCTTTCAGGCTTGGTGGGATCCAACCACACCTTTCCAAGAAGCTATTGGTCCTATGGGTGCCGGCTCCGGTGTCAATGTCCTGGCGCTCCGGACCTGCAAAGCCGATGTTGTTGTCGATCTTCCTCCTGGTAAGGATGAGGAGCTGAGGGCTCTCGAGGGCGGCGGCGGCGATACCGGGGCCAGGAAGTGGGCGTGGGGTGGCAAGTGGGCGGTCGTGTCTTTGTCTCAGGGCAAATGATGCGGGTGACATATCGGCGATATCGTGTCACTGGATGACGGTCTGTTTAATCTACAAAACTGGAAAGAAGGCTCATAGATGAAGCATATAGAGCGCGAAAAGAGGTATATATCATAGACGACGTCCTATTTATCTCTTTGTGTGCGACGCAAACAAGCCTGGAGAATCATTCATCGAAAGTGGGAGTGAAAGACAGTTCTTGACGTATTTAGCTACCTATATAAAGTACAGAAGATGACAAAATATCATTTTTGACTATTATTTTTACCAACAACATTTTCACAATCCACCTAGAGAAAGTAAAAAAATGAAAGAAGGAGAAAAAGTAACCTCTTTGTACCTAGTAATTTTCGTGTTTTGCCCATCAAGACCCCTCTTTCTTCCCCCTTTTTCCCTTCCTCTTCCCTCTCTCTTTCCCACCTTTTTCTCTTACATCCTGCCATCCCCATTTCCTCAAAAAGAACGTTCGCCTTTACCAAATCCTTCGGCCCCTGAATCCGTAAGACGGCGGCAGCTCATACGACGGGGTGTCGTAAGACGGCGGCGGACCGTACGAGGGGATAGTAGGGACGGGGTACTCGCTCTTCGAAGAGGTGCTGGTAGAAGATGCGGTTCCAGTAGTCGAGGTTTCGGTGCTGGAGGCCTCAGTGCTAGAAGTCTCCGTGCTGGAAGTTTCAGTGCTGGAGGACTTTGCGGTGGTTGAAGTGTAGAGTGTCGTTGAAGACGGCGACGACGAAGAAGAAGCAGCAGAAGATGAAGAGGTAGACAAGGAAGAAGAAGAAGAAGAAGATGTTGCTGAGGGCTGGGTGATTGCGTCTGCGGAGGAGGCGTATGACACTGTGGATGTTTGGGTGGTATACGTGGTCAGGATGGTCAAGACGGAAGAGGATGAAGTCGAAGATGAAGCCGAGGACGAAGTTGAGCTAGAAACAGATGTGGATGTTGCAGAAGATGGGGGTGGGGAGTAGGGCGGGGAGTAGTACGTCGTTGTGGCGGAAGTTTCACTTGAGGGTGGCGAATACGGCGAGCTCGTGGACGTGAAAGTGGAAGTGGAAAATGTCGTGGCCGGCGCGGCGGAAGCGTCGGTTGTGATGCTTGAGCTTGAAGAAGGGAGGATGTAGCTTGTTGTGGATGTGCTGAGGGACGATGATTGGGAGGAGGAGCTTGTGGTGGAGGCTGTGGCTGACTGTGAAGAGTAGCTTCCGGAGGATGTAGCGGCAGTTGACTGGGAAGAGTAGCTCCCGAAGGAAGTAGAGGCGGTTGAGTTGGGGAGAGTGTAGATGGGGGAAGATGAGTCGGTGCAGGATGTATAAGATGAGGATTGGGTTGTGCCGGGGAGGGCGGAGGAGTCGGTTGTTTCGGTTCCGGATTGGGTTGTTGAGGCTGTGGACTGGGTTGAGCCCGAGGATGATGAAGAGGGAGTGCCAGAATACGTGGTAGTGTGCCTGGTAATGATTGACGTGGACGGCTGGTTGTTCCTTGACGATGTTCCTGACGATGAACCGCTGGTGCTTGCGGATGTATATCCGGAAGAAGTTTCTGTTGACGATTCGGTGGAAGATTGACCGCTTGTAGTGGAGGCTGTTCCGGAAGTTGACTGGCTGGTGATTGTGGAAGCAGATTCCGTTGAAGATGCGGTCGAGGATTGCCCGGTGGATTGAGAAGCGGTAGAGTAACCGGTCACTGAGGTAGATCCAGTAGACAATCCAGTGGACGATCCAGTGGACGATCCAACTGAGGAGCTTGTCAATGTCTGAGTGGAGTATCCTGTTGAAGATTCGGAAGTCTCGGTGGATGTGCCGGATGTCAGTGTGGAATAACCTGTGGATTCCGTGGAGGATTCAGTTGAAGTCGCTGCGGAAGAACCGGTTGTAGTCTCTGTGGATGTTTCCGTAGAGGTATCCGCGGAGCTGCCTGTGGAGGATGCTGTAGAGGCACTGGTCGAAGTGCTTGAGGCATAACCGGTAGACGACCCAGTGGAAGATTCAGTGGAAGGCCCAGTTGAATAACCAGTAGAAGAACCCGAGGAGCTGCCCGATGGAATGGAGCTATAGCTCTGCGAGCCGGAGCTTCCCGGCACCGTCACAGTCTGCGTAATAGTCGAACTCAGCGTCGTCAACGTCGTACTCTCAGCTGTACTCGCGGTCGCACTTCCAGAACTCGTAGAGGAGCCACGAGCTTGCGTCGTGGTGGCGAATATGAAGGTGGTCTCCCGAGTAGACCCCGACGTCGAATAAGACGACGCAGCGGAAGACGAAGAAGAAGCGAGAGAGGACACAGACGAGGATGAATCAGAGGCCGTGGAGGAAGATGGAGTTCCAGTAGAAGAAGAGCCAGCAGAGGAAGACGACCCTGTGCTCTCCGTAGCAGCGGAGGACGTGCTGCCAGGGAGCTGGCTCGAGTCACTGGTGACACCAGAGGTAGCCGTGACGGTAGTCGAAGAAGTGACGCTCTTGACAGATTGATACGTCTCCGTCTTGGTGACAGTGGTAGCAGTGCCGGTGTCATAGGTGCTATACGATGCCGTGGGAGGGGAATACGTCCCTTGCGAGTAGCTCGATCCAGAAGACGCAGAGCCCGTGGTGGATATACCCGTAGAGGCGGACTTGGATCCAGTCTCGCTCTCCATCGAGGAGGTGGACACGGTCAGGGTGGCGGTGGAAGTGCAGCTGGTCACGACGGAATAGAATGACGAGGGACAATCTGTGACTGTCTCCGTTTTGGTGGTCGTGACGGTCACGGTTCTATCCGTTGCGGCCACGAGATTGGCTCTGCTGTCATGTCAGTATAATGTAGTATATCTTCGTGTTGTCCTCTGGTAGAGAGGGCTTACCCGAGGCCAAGAAAGGCCAGGACGACTGTTTTGTTCACCATGGTGGCGGATTCTTCAGCGAAGGTGGTTTTTGAACGAAGGTAAGTAGAACGAGTGACTGTAAAGGAGAGGACTGATGTTTCGATCTGTGTCGATGCAGTGAAGAATAAGAGTCATTGAACTCAAGCTACTCGAGCAGCTTCTCAACCTTTATACCTCTAGAGACCCTCGAAGGCCTCCAAGATGGCACAAGAGGCTCTCCGCTCGAGTCCGTACCGCAACGCTGCACGATCCCGCCTCCCGACGGCTTCGCACCGCGCCTTCATTTCCGCTTGACGTTACTCGATGTGATCCAAGCTCCTTCATCATCGTGGTGCTATGCTACGAGATCGTCTTGCAATCTGTTTAGAGAGCGTCATAGCTTGCAACCTCTGTTCAACAGTAGTCTAGCTTTCGATTGGAGTGACTCCTGACGCCGTGAATCCAGAGCTATTGTTTCAATCAGGGACATGCCGATCCCAGTCGCACGAGATGCCACGAGCCGCAGACTAAAGACATTCTCAGCTGCCGTGGACCCTTTCTTCTCTGGACCATACAGCAGCTCCTTGCTGTGGACACAACATACATATCGAGCATCGTTCGATATGGTACCATATGCACGAGGCATGGACCTGGCAAGCATATCATGGACTTGATGAGACGATGGATCGAGAGGCTACTGATTTCTAATGCGATTTCGGAATGGTTGCCGAGAGTATATGCATGTTTCCACCTGTGTTCTTGTGCTATTGAATCTTGGGTACCTGCATAGGTGCCGTGGCTCGGCGCCCTGGATCGTTGAGATATTCTTCCGAGTCTGTCAACGATGATCTCGAGACTCAAGAGTTATCTACCAAATCACGCTGGGCTCATGAGTCAAAATGGAATTGCCGAGTACAAATGGGCAGTATCTGTTGTATAATCCCCCTATAGAATTGCCTCCACGATGAAATATACCTGTGATAGACCGCCCCGATGCAGTCCACTAGGACACGCTCACCCAGAATGCCCCCCTCGGCACTGCAAATTCGTCTGTTTCAAATACAGACAGCTAATATGGATAGACACATGGCCAGAGTCTCAGACAACGTGCGCAATTCCCTGGTGGCGCAGTAAAAAAAAATCCTCACCGGCTCAACTCGCAGCTGTAAAGAAAAGCTCAATTGTGCAACGGAGCCCCTCGCGTGGCGGTGATACCGTTAACCTCCGCCTATACGACGGCGATGTGCTCCAGCTAAAAGGCACAGCATGACATACTGCATATATAAACGAGATGGATGATGCCCGTAGAATTAAGGGGGCAAGATCTCGTTGGTGGTGGCACAGCGGCGTGCATCGGTGTTTCGATGCCGTATAGCTGTGATGATGAAAGCACCAAGATCGATGCCGGTTACACATGGGCGAACAGAGGCGATGGAATCAATTAATCAAACGATTGCTACAAGCGACCTGCATATGCATTGCATCCGATGCGTACGAAGAATACAGTTTTCTTTTTGTTGGTTCCCACCCCGCTTACAGAGAGGCCTTGAGAATCTTGAAGGCGTCCTCGCGATCGCCCTTGAAGCGCTGCTCAGCAGTCTTCCAGTTAATGACCTTCCAGATGTTCTCCACATAGGCAGCTTTGCCGTTGAGATACTATGCGAGTCATTCGGTTAGCCAGACGTGACCAAGACGAGAGCATCTCAGTGAAACTCACCTGCAGGTAGTATGCATGCTCCCACATGTCGATGCCAAAAACCGGCACCTCTCCCCCAACGACCGGGTCCTGGTCCTTGGTAGTCACAATCCGCAGTCCATTCCCCTCCTTGACCAGCCATCCCCAGCCACTGCCCTGAATACCGAGCAGCGCCTTGCCCATGGCCTCCTTGAACTTGTCCAGGCTGCCCCAGGTCTTGGCAATCTCGGCCGTCAGTTCGGGCGCGGCGCTGGCGGGGTCCGCGTCGGGGGAGGACGCCGGGCAGAGGTTCTCCCAGAAGAGGGAGTGGTTGATGTGGCCGCCGCCGTTGAACTTGATGGCGGCCTGGAGGGCGATCTGGGAGGGCACGTCGTTGGCGGAAAGGGCGGCGGCATAGGTCTTGAGGGCGTTGTTGAGGTTGGTCACGTAGGTCTGGTGGTGCTTGCTGTGGTGGAGCTCCATGATTTGGGCCGAGATGCTGGGCTCGAGGGCCTGGTGGTGGTGGTGATGAGCATGATGGTCAGCATCATGAGGAGTACCGTGATAGACTGGAGGTGAAGCAGGGCAGACTCACATCGTAGGCATATGGCAGTGCCGGCAGGGAAAAGGTTCCGACGGACATGGTGGGCTCAAAGGAGTTGGTTGGGACGTTGGTGCTGGCAAAGTCTGGCTTGACGGGGACTTGAGAAGAGAGACAGCCGAGAGGCAGCAGAGAGAGAGCCGTGAGGAGGACGAGTCGGGAGGCCATTTTCGTCAGTCAGAGCACGGCCTAATACTATCAACACCAGAGGGACGGGGTCAGCACACATGACTAATGCACGGATCGATTCATACAGAATGCATCCATGATTTCATATTCGTCATCCATCTGCACCTGCTCTCCTTTCTCTGCCATCAGGGTTCTCAGCGTAATCGCGAGCATTTGCGCTCAAACTTGCTCACGTCCGGTTGCCGCATGGGGAAGGGGGGCGGGAAACGGAGCGCCGTGATTGGGCCGCCGCGACACACCGTTTCAAACGGGGCCTCGTTGCTGTTTGCGTGAGATGCGCAGCAAATGAAACATGCTCAGGCAGATCACCTGGAAGGGCAAGTAAAGCAAATGGAGGAACGAGACCGGCATTTGTGGTCTGTGAAGGGGATTGCCGGCGGTATAAAAAGGTTCTTTGTCTGGGGTTTTGGCTCTTCATCTTGACAAAGCCGCCTTAAAGAAGCTCCTTCACCAACTCTCTCTCCAGCAGCCTCTTGTTATCAAAGACACATACAACCACCAGCACATTCTTCACATCTTGACCGAAACGGCACAAAGAATAAAGCCATCATGTGCGGCCCGGAAACCACAAACAGGCCTCGTGGAGGCGCACTCGCTGCCCTCAGCTCGCTCGACGACGCCGGCCACTCAACAACCTGCGGCGATCTCGCCTTTCACACCCCAGGCCTGCCAGAGAGCAACGAGGCGACACACGTGAGACTGATGCCAGATGCCGCCTACAATGCAAAGACGCTCTCAGACCTCCTCGTGGTGATTCAGTGCGTGCTTAACTTCACTTGAGAACCCCCTCTCCTAATGGCTCTCACGAAGCTAACGTCGCACAGCTCAAGCGGTGACCCGAGAAGGAGAATAGAGGACTGCGGCACGTTCCAAAAGTTTGGCTTCCCCACGACAGCCGACTCATTCAGCGACACGCGGGCGTTCGTCGAGCTTCCGCTCAGCAAGCCGCTTCTGCTCGAGGTTGGGAACGAGGGCATCATCGGGCGGCGCGTCTCGCTGTACTCTAGGGCGGCCCCTAATAGAGTCGTTGCCGAGGGCATCGTGGGCGTCAACTTTCTCAGGGCGCCCCAGCCGTCTCTCGGGATGGTGCAGGAGTGACGGGGGCCATCAAGGTTGTGATGCGACTTGCATGCACCTTGATGGACAGATAGAAGGACGAGGCTTGATGCAGAACACTTGCTGCGCGAGTCCGAAGGAGGGGAAACCAGAAGTATATCTCCTTACCTGTGGCGGGTAAACGGGGTGTTATCTGCAACGTGAAATGTGATGGGTATCTGGCGTTTGGGTGTTGAAGTCGGCAACGTGGCTTCACGATGTTAGCATGGAACAGCGGGATACACGGCAATCCAGGCAGCTGGAGCATGAGATTGAGGCACTAACAGCTTAGCTAGGATTATATCTGATTGTTTGAGTTACGGCGACTGAATTTGTTGAAGATGGATTATACTGGAATGCGTTGATGAAGCTTGATGATGGTGGTTGAACTGATTGCGACAGCTACGGGGCCGAGTGCCCGAGAGCCGGTCGGAGCATTTGAAGTCCGAGATCCTCTCGCATGATAAGCTGTCGCCATCTCCCACCTCTGAGATAGCTTTGCTACCCGTAGTGATCTCGTCATCTCTAACTTTATGCTATGGGATATTCCACACAAGGCACGATTCTGCACATGAAACAAGTTCTCGTGAAGATGCAAAAATGAGCAATGATGCTTGTGTAAGGCAGCTTCATGATGGACCTACCATGGGCTTCCATGAGCCGGAGTTAGGACCGCCCGGGCGGAAATATCCGAGCAAGAAGCATTACGTGATCCAGCTGAACCGAGAACTCAGTGCATCCCTCATGCCATTTGTGTCACGACATGACCAAGAATTTCTAATCGTGATTCTTCCCGTATAATCCTTTACAATAACAATGTCGACTCCCGCAAAGCCGCAAAACGTGTGCCGGGGATGCAGATCGAGAAAAAAGAGATGCGATGTAAGATTGATGACAACACCACTAACAGCCCAGCCCCGTCTTACCTAATTCGTGATATCAGGGCAGCCGACCGTCTTGTTCCTCCTGTTTAGCCAGAGGAGACCTTTGCTACTATGAGAAAAGCAACAGACACAGCCTCCGTGGTGGCCGGGTCATTGGTCGACCAAATAGCAGCATGTCCTATCCTTCCGCTTCTCAGGTCTGGAGCTCGTGGCCGATAGACGACGTTGACGCGTTGCTGGGACTCGAGGCCACTGAGATGGACCTTGTTCCGCCTCTGCAAGACACGTTTGGGTGGGCTTTGCCCAATGGCGAGTTACCAGCAGTTGATGCTATGAATCTCCCTCTTGAACGTCAAACATGCCTCACTCTGTCTCATGATGCCGAATCGGCAACTCCACCGTCAGAGCTCAAATTGCCTGACCTGCCAGACATCTTGCAGCTCATCGATCTCTTCTTTGAGAAGTGCTATCACTACTTTCCCGTAATCCACAAGCAGACCGCACTAGACGCCATCAAATCCGAAGGAACCGACGGCATACCATTGGTACTACTCTATGCCATCATCGCCGCTGCAGCAGCTGTCCACCCCAACTGCCGGATCCGACAATCACAGCGGGCCTGGTACGAACAGGCAAAGAGTCTAGTATCAAAAGAGATACAGCAGCCGCACCACGTCCTTCAAACGTTACAGGCTGCGATAGTAGTAATCTACCTAGGGCTGGCCCTCGTCGACTATTCGTCCTCCATTATCATTCTCGGCGAGGCTTGGAGAAAGACTGTTGCCGTCGGTCACAGTTATGGCGACGGACTGCGGAATCTGATTGTACAGACGCTGGGAACACAAGAAAAGGCCAAGTGGATAGAGAAAGAAGAGATTAAGAGGATCTCATGGATGCTCTTCATCATGGACCGTGGGATGTGCTATCCTATTGGATTGATGCATGCGATTGATGATCGGAGGATGAAGATGGAGTTTCCCATGTCGGAGGATGACTTTCAGAGCACTGAAGCACCGCCTTCATGCTCTATGGATCGATTCACCTACAATCTGGATACTCTCATAACGACGATGCGAGACAGAAGCCTGCGGGGCTCAGCAACGCAGCTGCAGTACATCATTCTGGGATACGCACTCCTAGGGCGCATCAGCGAAGCACTCGACCATACCGACGACGGTGACGAGGCACGCAGAGAGCGACTGGACACCCTCTGCGCACAACTTGCCAAGATCCGGCTGATACTTCCTCGCTCCGCCACAGAGCTCTCCATGGCCAAATACGATGAGTTCACGGGAGTCGTTTGGCTCAACATTGTCCTCAACGCATGCACGGCTCTTTTACACCACCGACCTCTCCGCGAAGGAGAGTCCCTCGACGATGCTGAAACAGATATAGCCAGGCACTGGCCCTACTGCGTTGCTGCTGCACGAAACACGATATCTATCCTACGAGACGCCTCTCGAGTATCCATCGACTTCGTCAGCAACGCGCACTTTCCGTGTCTGATATTCACCACCTCCCGAATACTCCTCGTCGAGTATTTCTACCCCTCTAAATGCGACAAGAGCGCTCGTGATCCAAAACTTCGTGAAGATCTCGAGGTAGTTGCCTTGACATACATCAGAATGAGAGAAGAGTGGCGTGGCTTGGGACAAAAGTTTGGCAAGGGAATGTATTACTATTTACACCGAGGGGAGGAGTTTGCGCGTGAGACAAAGGCCGCTGGTGCGAGGACCTTGCTCGGCGTCTGTGATACCTGGATCACCATTCCCGATGATTTTGATCTCACTATCCCGGGATGAAGGTATGGCGCATTACTATAGAGAACCACTACATTAGACAGGCAAGGCAGTCTATTTCTTCATTCGAAGCAACTCTATGGTCAAGAGTCAAGACGATCTTGCTCTCCTTCCACTTCAAATACCGAAAAGACTCTTACTCTCCCCAACAAGCCGGCCCCCATCCGTCGTAAAAATCGCCCCCGTCGCAAACGAATCCTTCATCGAATACACATACGCCTCCGCAACCTCCTGCGGCGTCCCCACCGTCCCTGTAATCGCCCAGTCCCGGAACCCCTGCAGCACGCCCTCCCTATGCTCCTCGGGAATCATGTCCAGCAGCTCCGTCTGCACGGCGCCCAGCCGCACGCAGTTGCACCTCACGGGGCGCAGGTCGACGGCGAGCCCCCGCGTGAGAGACTCCGTGCCGCCTCCGGCAAAGGCGACGACGGACCAGTTGGGCAAGGGCCGCCAGGTGTTTGTCCCGCCGGTGAGGGTGAAGGAGCTGGATACGCTCGGGTTGATGTACTTGTGGAGGTGCTTGGCGACGATGATGGCGCCGGCGTTGCGGACCTGGTTGATGGCTTGGATGTCCTTTACGGTGGTTTCCTTTAGACCCGAAGTCTTGAGGGCATCGCCCGCCGTGAACACCACGTGGTCGAGTTTACCGTCCTTGGTGGCAAACTCCAAGAGCTCGACGACGCTCTGGTCGACGGTGTCGGGGTTGCCGAGGTCGACTGTTTTGGCGGAGAGGAGCTTGCTCGCGTCGCCGAGGTTGGCGGCCTTGATGTGCTCCTGGAGACGGGAGGCGGCCTTGTCGAGCTTGGTCTGGTTGGAGCTGCTGATGGTGACGTGGGCGCCGTGCTCGAGGGCGGCTTCAGCGACGCAGAAGCCTACGCCGGAGGAGGCTCCGATGACGAGGACGCGTTTGCCTTGGAGCTTGTTGACGTATTTCAGGGCGGACATGGTGATGGTGAGGACGGAACTTGCTGTAAGTTAGGATTGTTGAAGATGGTTTTTTTGTGGTGTGTAAGAAGAGGGCTTGTTGATGGGCGATGAAATGCGTAAATACAATCCAAACTAAGTTGCTGATGATGTTGAAAGTATCCGCGAGATCATTGCTGGAGGTGGTCGTCTTTATATGTTTCGACTTACAAGCACTTACAACCGATTTCTGTGTACGATTCACTGCCATATCGGGACGATCGTGTCGGCGCTTCTGTCTTAGCGGCGGCGACGGGCCGCTAGCGTCGCCGCTTGATGGGATTGATTTGATTGGCTAGAAATTCATAGCAAGCGATGTGCTCAGGCAGGAGTGTGTATGAAATACCTTACGAAGGGAAATTTATCGCGACATTTACCCCCGGGACATACGTGTTATACCTCAAAGGTATGGTCAGTTACGGGACTGAGTACCTATCAAGCCTCACGCCTGACTTAACGTTCCCATTCAGTACCTCAGATGTTCGTCTCTGGCAATCTTCAAAATCACTTTCTACATCAATTAAAACATAGGTACTGGGCAAGTAATAAGTGATAGGGAGTTGTGCCTAATTTGACAAATCGCCTTTGAGGAGCTTGCGTTTCGAGAGGCTTGCTAAGCCGGGCATGAGGCTTAACAGTTGACCCTCAAGTTATATGTGTTCTGCGCGTATCTTTTTCCAACAGAAATGCAACACCGAGTCACACTTTTCAGACACATGGCTCAGCATCACAGCACCGCTTTTTCATAATAAAAATAAATGCAAATTGCTTTGCAGCTTAGACTGTCTATAAACATTGCTGGAATTGGAAGTGGTACATACCTGCGCGCATGGCTGTGTGGGTTAAAGAGGCCTTTGCGACGATCCTTTCCCTTGATTTCTGGGTGATAAGTTTAGGTAGATGAAACGTTGAAAGATACAACCGTACACATACACATTACTACGGCCTTCGTGGTATAACATAAAGGCTCTATCCTCCGGTGGTAATTGGCGGGACATATACCTTAGTTACCAGTACGAAGTGCGGCGTGATTGGTTCCAAGACTCATGAAGCTGTTCTGCCTTGTTCTCTACCTAGCGTTCTTCCCGGGCCATACAAAACGTAGGTGCAGGTCATCTTTGAGGCTTATCCATGTAAGGCGTGCAGGCTAATATATGCATCATCTTCGCGGCCTATCAGGTCATGGAAACGAGTGAGGCTGAGTCGCTCCAATGAAGTAGTTGGGCAAGCAGCAATCAATGCCTAAAGCTTCCATGAAGCCAAGGCAGGAACAATGAGTTCTGTCTTCTGATGACCAACGTCTCCAGACGCGATATTCCAGCTTTAGCTGATGACGCTCCCAACATCGTCGCTCTCCAACTAGATCAGAGAGTATCCAAGCGAAAGAAGGTTTGTCCGTCCAGTACTCCTCAACGAGCTTTTGGGCTGAGCGCTGAACTTCCACGAAGCAACAGAATCCGCGACAACGTCTTGCTTCCTGCATCCGACCAACAAAAACGGTCTTTTTCTTGGAATTATCCACAAAATTCCATTCGACACCACTTATAACGCTCTTCGATCATCGGAATCCTTCATACGCCGAGCTACACATCGAGATCATCGACGATCTGACGCCGGGTCTGCATTGGAATGCAGAGTAACAACAACAGAGAATATACTGTAGGATGGATCTGTGCCCTCCCGATCGAGCTCGTCGCGGCAGAGGCAATGCTGGATGAGAGATACGAAGACTACAGAAGTGGCCAGTACACGCTCGGCCGCATTGGTCCTCATTACGTCGTCATGGCATGTCTTCCGGCAGGCTTGATAGGCACCAATGCTGCCGCCACCGTTGCAACCAAGATGGTTTGCAACTTCCCGTCAATTCGATTCGGCCTAATGGTAGGCATCGGCGGCGGTGTTCCAAGCGAAGACTTTGATATTCGACTTGGAGATGTCGTGGTCAGTCTACCAGATAAAGGATATGGTGGAGTTGTCCAGTATGACTTCGGAAAGACACGTCCGGGGGAGTTCGAGATGACCGGGTTTCTCAACGCACCGCCCACTGCCCTGCTGGAAGCTGTTTCGGCGCTTCGAGCAAAGCATCTCTCTGGGAAGAGCAAGCTACCGGAAAACATTCATGCGGCCACCCATCAACTCCAGTTCGCTCTTGAGACGACGAGAACTGATATGCTCTTTGAACCAGACTATGACCACATAGAAGGCTCAACATGTGAAAGATGCAGCAAGGAACGGTTGATCACGAGGAGACCACGGCATCAAGATGTTGCAATTCATTATGGTACAATTGCCTCTGGAAATCAGGTCATGAGAGACGGCAGCACCAGAGACAGCCTTAGCTCAAAGCTCGGGGGCGTCCTTTGCTTCGAAATGGAAGCCGCAGGCCTCATGAACAGTTTTCCCTGCCTCGTCATCCGCGGTATCTGCGACTATGCAGATTCACACAAGAACAAGGCATGGCAGCCTTATGCAGCGATGACTGCCGCGGCATATGCCAAAGAGGTTTTAACAGTCATACCTGGGACCGAAGTAACAAAGACAGAAGTTGTCGACGAAGCGACAAAAGCTGTACGATGATCATTCCAAATGGCGACTAAGAATCAAAAACTGACTGGAATGCTTGTGCACAGGATATGATCCGAGCTGAAGTTGAATGCGACATTGATACCGTGGACCTGGATTGGTTCCTTTTTGTTTTACCTGTCACTGACCAAGCAGCGTTCAATCATATGCCACCAATAGATTGTGACGACAGCGAATACTGCTGGGTTTTCAGAAACCTAGACTTTTGGAACTGGGATAACGCCAGTCGTGGAATTCTCTGGCTGAGCGGGCCACCGAAGTGTCATATGCGAACAGTTGCGTCATTCATCTTGCAGCGAGAGATTGGTCGAGCTTCCAAGACACAGCAGCGGGTCATTTCCTACTTCTTCCCCCTTGTCTCAACAAATATAGTGTCTCTCGCAACGGTGATTAGAGCACTTGCTTACCAGATCATGTCGTCTGCAGTTGAGGCCAAGCGGGCGCAAATGGTTCGCATTTTTCTGCGAAGTATTCTGAGCCATATCTCCAAGATAAAGACCTCGGGCCAATTTCTTCAATGCTTCTCTCGCTATTACAACACGCACATCCATGAATTGCTTCTGGCCGCAGACGACAGTCTATGGGCAGGTCTATGGGCTATTATACCTACAGAACAGAACCAAAGGCTGACGGTGATCATCAGTGGCCTTGAATTTGTCCGCGACCGACCAGACTTCATTGGCACAATCCGCAAATTTGTGGAAGACCTACACCGAGCCTTCGGGGTTAAGATCATGCTTACTAGCGGAAATGGTGAGGATACTTCAGTGATTTTGCAGGGACTTCCTGGTATCGAGTATAACAAAGAGAGAGAAGGTTCGGCTATCGACTGATTCCCTTCAAAGATACCTCCGCTCTAACGAAACACAGAATGCCTTTCCAGCTTTTCTTTTACCAACACGCGGTTGCATAAGATTGTGGAGGCGTGTGAAGGCACCTTTGAGTGGCTCTGGGAGCACCCACAATACAAGAACTGGTCGATTCCGGGAGTCTCCAGCATCTTACTGATCGAAGGGAAGCCTGGTAGTGGCAAAAGTACGCTCACAAAATATTTTAATGAGCACATGTCGGAGCGGCAACCAGCTGCAAGTTCAGCCATTGTCGCCAAGTTCTTCTACAGCTACAGAGATGGCAGTCTTCACAGAAGCCACCATAGTATGCTTCGGTCCTTACTTTACGATATCATATCTCAAGATCACGCCTTCTTTTACCATATTCAATCGGAATATCGTATTGGCCGTTGCGACAAAGGCAGTGGCGCTGTTGATTGGGACTATGACTTGCTCAAGCGGATGCTCAAGTCTCTACTCGGTTATCTCCTACCACGACCACTGTATCTAATCATTGATGCAGTGGATGAGTCCGATGACGAGGATCGCCGCGACATCATAAAGCTGCTGTTTCAGCTTGGTGCAAACAAGATGTATGGCACCGTCAAGATATTCGTGGCGAGCCGGCCTGTGGTGCAGCTCGACGTCCGCCGAAAGACCATCAACAGCATAATCCGGCTGCAAGATGAAACGGTGGATGACATCTCCCGTTTTGCGCGCTCCATGTTGGGCGGCCTCAATGTTTCGCTGCTGCTTGATAAAGCCACCAATTACATTATCGACAATGCAAATGGTGTATTCATTTGGGTAAAGCTGGTTGGGTACGAACTGGAAGCTTCTCTCGAGGACGGTGAATCAGAGGACGCTATCTTCCAGCGCCTCAAGAAACTTCCAACTGAGCTAGATGACCTTTACCAGTTGATGTTCGAAAGATTAGACAACAAGCCACATACAGCGGACTCAATAACGATGTTCCAAAGTGTCTTCTGGGCAGCAAAGCAAGTCACGGCGGACGAGCTGTTACAAGTCGTGGCGATTTCCAATATTGCAAATATGGAATCTTTGACCGATGAAGCATTAGAGATGCGAATTCCCCTCAGGGCTCGCATCACTCACTGTGGAGGGAATTTCTTAGAATTGAAGGAATCAAACGGTAGTTGCCCACTCCCCATACCATAAGGCATACAATCTAATTAGTCGATGAATAGGAAAGGAAACTGTTCAGATCATGCACCAAACTGTGCGCGAATTCTTCTTCCATCCTGATGGATACGCTGCAAAAACGAAGTTCGTGATGTGTGGAAGAGATGCCATTGCACGTATATCAAGATTGTGTTTACAGTATCTCATACTTTGTGCTAGATGCACTACTTTGGCGAAGAAAATATCTGCTACTCGATTCTGGAGCAGCGAGCATTACGATGCCTACGCCAGTTACTTGGACAAGAGACCCCTGGTGAGCTACGCTCTAGCCTTTTTCGAACTGCACGGAAACAAATACCCCGGAGATATTGTCGCATCGAGTATTATCACAGTGATAAATCAAAGAAGGACCTCTACTCCACTCATCTACTTGTTAGATAGCTGGATGTCGTCAAAGCTGGGCATTGGTATACCAGGTGTGGAACATCTGGACGCCGCAATAGAGTTCCGGGAGAAGCTTCTATATGCTGCTACCTTGAATGGCTATCACATCGCGGTAGAAATCATTCTAGCAGCTGGGGCCGACGTCAACCAGGAGTGGAAAGGGGCAAGAACAGCTCTCTCACTAGCAGCTGAACAAGGACACACGGCTGTTGTCAGCCTTTTATTAGCATGCAACGATATCAAGGTCAACTCCCAGGATGAAGCAAAGAGGACCCCTTTGTCTTGGGCCGCAGAGAAAGGCCACGAGGCAATCATCATGAAGCTATTGGCCCGCAATGATGTCGAAGTTAACGCTGAAGATACTTGGGGGATGACACCTCTATCATGGGCGGCTAAAGAAGGACACCTTGGTATAGTGACCTTACTACTTGCTCATCATGATATTGATGTTAACCCTGAAGATCCTGAGAGGATGACACCTCTGTCATTGGCGGCTAGTCGAGGGCACCTCGACATAGTGACCTTACTGCTTGCTCGTCATGATATCGAAGTTAACGCTGATGATACTTGGGGGATGACACCTCTATCACGGGCGGCTAAAGAAGGACACCTTGGTATAGTGACCTTACTACTTGGCCGTGATGACATCAAGTTGAATCCTGAAGATGACGAGGGGATGACACCTCTGTCGTGGGCGGCTCAGCAAGGGCACCATGATATAGTGACCTTACTGCTTGCTCGTTATGTCACGAAGGCCAACTCGGACGATGATACTGAGGAATCACCGTTAATTCGAGCAGCAAAGAAAGGCCATGCTGTTCTAGTGAAGTTGTTGCTTCCCTATCTTTCAACTACGGACTCAAGAGACGATATGGTTCAAGAAGCGCTATGCTGGGCAATGATGCATGAACATCACGCAGTAACCAAGCTGCTTTTTGATGAGATCTGTAAAATGAACCAAGACTCTGGATGGACGCCGTTACACTGGGCTGCACAGAGAGGGGGCTGGTATCTGGTCGAAGCACTAATCAGCCGCGACCATGTTGATATCAACGTGCAAGATAGCTATGGAAAGACGCCGCTATCTCTAGCAGCCCAGTATGGACACGCCAAAGTAGTACAGCTGCTCCTTGCACGTACCGATATTCTGGCTGATACAAGAGATATGGGAGGGTGGTCACCAATGTGGTATGCCGTACAAGAAGGGCACTGCCACATTGTTGAAGTGTTTGTCAGCCGCGATGACATTGATCTTTGGAGAACGGACTGTTTAGAGAACACACTGCTAGGACTGGCAGTCTACCGAGGACATGCGGAGATTGAACAGCTTCTGAGGAAGAAGTTGGAATCAGATATTATGCTGGAGTTGGGAATTTCTCACTCATGAACAGTTTATATTGTCGATAGCCAGGCAAAGCTACCACATGAGACCCAAGTACGCTACCTTATTGAAGATCTACAGCCATTCTAGCAATTGGATTTACTGGTACCTACATGTTGGCTGTCATGAGCTGTCAGTCTTTTGTTTACAAGATTGACGCGTCCGCGGCCGATAGTCAGTAGCAGCGTGCACACGTAACATGCTTGTCAATCTTTTGGTAGTCATGATTTCAGCTAGATACACATGGCTACAGTCACCGATCCATCGATTTGGAGTAGACTTAGGCAGTATTTTTACCTTCTTCTGGCTAGAGTAGTCCGAAATCGGCAAGCCGGTCTGTGGCACATGTAACACGGCTACTGGAGGCTTCACCACTCCTCCGAGAAGAGTTATCTTATAGTTGGGTGGTCTCCCGCACAAGAAAAGTTGACATGGCTTCTCGTTTATGTGTGTGTGACAAAGGCTCATTGCCTGGCTGTGGGCAGCAGTTGAGGTACGTGGTCTTCATATGGCTGCTTTTCAAAGATCAAGGCCAAGCATATAAATCTGAAAACTCCCTCTCTGCCAATCTTCGAAGACCATCTCCTCTAAATGATACACCGAGTGTGATAGCACCGAATAATCGCCACAGCACATCATACCAATGCCCGTCCTGCGGTTTCCCTACTTGTTATATACGACCTCAGTCTTCGGTCGGGGTTGATAGACTTCATGTAGCTTTTTCATGTCTCTTTGAAAGCTCTGAGAGGGAACATGGTCTATTCATATGGTGAGCAGATACAACGAATTTTGGGAACATAGGGTCTTGGAACCATCTTACTTTCATCATCACCTTGTCTCTCAGCTCCTTTTGTCTGCCGTTCACAGGCCGAGCGCGTTGTGACTAGCGATTCGTTTGCCAGCAGTTCATGTATGCCGACCTCGCACATCCGAGAGGCCTGGGAGATCAACGCAGCGTTAAACTCAGTTATTCAAAGAAGCATATTCGAGTTATGAAAAGGATGATACTGTATAAGAGCGTCAACGATATATTTCATATAATTATACGCTTACACTAGTTTGCTAACTGGACGAATATGGCGCATTCCTTCTCGTGACATGTAGACTATCTGCAATGTAATCTCTCGAATGAGCTGAAGCAGCGGAAGTTGTAAGTTGTGATGAGGTGTCTTGTTTAAATCAATTTTAATTTTCCTCTGCTACTGAATATAACGCCTCAGTAACAAGGGATGAAAGTTGTACAGAGATATCGCGTTGCCCTAGATACAATCGAACCGCCAATACACCGACGGCGTATTGAATCGGTATTTAATCCAAGTTAACAGAGCAGCGATGCTGCGTCGTTTCCCTCATCGTATGTGTCAGCCTCCTTTTCTTTCAAACGATGCGTCGAATATTCCGAAGCCCTCGTCCGGTTCTGCCGATGAAGGCAGTAGACTATCGACTTTCTGAGAACTCTCCCGCTGTATGCCATATGTGCATTACGTTTGTACTCTCCTTCAAATGATAAGATTGAAGTACTGGACTATGAAACATCCAACTGCAAAAGGGCGGAACACGTTAGTCAATGTCGATGTCTATCCTTGACCTCTTCGTTCATTCGTATAGCGACCCATGTCACGTCAACTTCTCGTATTTCGGCAACTGCCGACTATCCGGATCTCTGGGATGCTTTCAACCGATCCCTCACTCCTAACTACGACCAATCCTAGATGGGAAATTATGCTTACTGTAGACAGCACTAAGAGGAGCGCGGAAGTGTGGTCGTTCAAGGAGGTGACAAGCGAAAGCCTGCACTCAATCCTTCGCCCGTAAGTAACGTGAAGCTCGCTCGCGCCTGATAAGCCGCACGAGACGGAAAGAGAAGGACGTGGCAAACAAACACTAGGATTCTGTGATGATATTTATAGATATATCAGACGTGATTCGTTCAGTAGTCGCCTCTGTAATGGCTTCGTAACTCATCTTTCATGTCGTTTTCCGTGGCATCAAATTACAGCCCCTAAGCACTAAGAGCCGGGTGACGAGACTAACTTCACATCGACTCTCAAGCCATCAGCTGATGACATTCAGAGGACATCGTATATAGTCTACGAATATAACCCATATGAATGCAAATGCCTCTACCACTTCTTCACCGTCTCACCTTGGCCCTGTAGAAAACTACCGATGTGAAATATAGCTACAATGGGCGACAAACCAAAACCCATCGACGAGAAAATCAACCCCCTATCCGCAAAAGACCAATGGCGTCCCATCAACAACATCCGCTCCCTCCTCTTCATCGTCGTCCGCGACATCCTCGACGAGCAGCTCATGAAGTCATCCCTCGACAAGCTCATCCGAGAACACATCCCCCTCCTCGGCGCACGAATCAAGACCAGAGCAGACGGCTGGCTCGAATACCACCTCACCACCCCCTTTCCCCCCAACCACAAACTCTTCGGCTGGTCAACAACCACCATCTCCCAAACCCTCGAACAAACAAACCTCGTCCTTGACCACGATCCCCGACGAGGAATCACCATTCTGCCAGGTGTGACAAACCTAGAACCGCGCTGGATACCCTCCCACTGGCCCGTCCTCCGCTGCCAGGACACACAAGACACTCCTCTCCTGCTCGTCCACCTGACATACTACAAGAATGCCACCATAGTAGCCACCAACCTGCCGCACTGCGTAAGCGACCAAATGGGCTACGGCAGCGTCCTCAACGCCTGGATAGACATCATGAAAGGCAGACAGCCCCTGCCCTTCATCGACATTCCTCCCGACGCACTCGACGGCGACAGGGATATTCCCACCAAGGAGCTTTTCAAAAAGTACGAGTACCGGCTGCGGACGAAGAGGGAGCGGGCGGAGGTGCTGATGGGGATTGTGCCGGAGCTGATTGTGAGGTCCAAGGAGACGAGGTGTATCCTCTTCCTGCCGGTGGGAGTGGTGAGTGGACTCAGGGATCGATGGAGGAGGGAGTTGAAGGGAAAGTATGGGGGTGAGGCGGCGGATATCACGAATGGGGATGTGATTGTTGCGATTATAGCAAAGGTATGTCTCCTTTGCTCTTTACCTCTCGTGAGTATTCGGTGCTGACATCGAGATAGTTTGCCAATATGCACCGAAAGAGGACCAAGAAGCAAGTCATTAGCGGTCCAGCAAACCGTAAGTCTTCAACTTCAGCACCATATCATCACCAATTAACACTCTTCACCACCCAGTCCGAGGCCACCATCCCCTCCTCCCCAGAAACACCCGCTACCTCCACAATGCCCTCATCTTCGCCGTCGCCCACGCCTCCATCAGCCGCTCCCACCCGCCCACGTCCGACCTCGCCTACGCCTTCCGCCTCGCCGTCAACGACGCCCTCACGCCCGAGAAGATGGAGCGCGGCCTCGCCGTATCGCGGGAGCTGCGGAAGCGAAACATTGCGATGCACATCTGCGAGCCGTGGGAGTTTAGCTACGGGACGACGAATTGGTGTAATGCGTGGCATGGAATTGACTTTTCGGTGGCGAGCGTGAAGAACAAGATCAGGGGTGAGGGGGAGGAGGAGACTGGTGAGAAGAGGGAGAGTGATGGGGGGAGCAGTAGGGATGATGCAAAGACGATTGATGGCGCTGCGTCTTCGGCGCCGCTTATTTTTGGACATTCGCTGGAGCGGAATCATCCCAATCGACGTAAGTTTCTTCTTCTCCTCGATACATCATCCGTGGTCAGATGATCCATAGGGCATGGTATATACTGACGCCGGGCTGGGAACGTAGTGAGCTCCGCCATCATGTGCAAGGCCGAAGGCGGATATTGGGTCGATTTCGCGGCGCCGAACAAGGGTATGGCGGCGATACGGGCGCTTCTGGCGCGGGATCCCAACCTGGAGACGTTATGATACCTTTGGACATTCCGTTGATTTCGGGAGCTGGGTGGTTTGGTGTTTGAAGGAGGTTCTGAGAGTGGCTGCTGGCATATAAACGTATGGTATGGTACAGCCTGACTGAGAAAGAAGCACATGGTGGTCAAAGTTCAATGTGATGTTGTATATCATCGAGGGATCTAAAATCCCCAGATTGCTAGACCCGGCATCAGGGTCAGAAGAACAAGTCGACTCGTAGAAACCTCCCAACTCCAGCTATGCCACGAACAATGTAGGTATAAGAAAACACGCCAACCCAATGCTAAACCCACCGTAAACCCATCAAGTCAAACAAAGCCAACGCCGGATCCATGCAATGCTCTCTTACCATCCATCCCCATACATCATCATCTGCGAACACTCCTCCAGCCTATCCAGCCCCTTCTTGACCGCCCTCGTAATGCCATCTATTCGCTCAAACGCAAAGATATCAAAATGATGGCCCTCCACATCCATCACATCGCAAAACATTTCATCGTCATAATCGCCCCAACCCAGCATCTCGTCCTCCCGATTCAGATCCAGCCCGACCATCCGGCCGTCCTTTGTCGGCACGTATTCCTTCGCACGCAGCAGCACCACCTTGGGTCGTCGATTGTACAATCTACCACGCCATTCGGGTAGACGCCACTGTCGGATCATGCGTACCGCCTCGGCCATGCACCGCTTGGAACGGATCTGGTTCTGCGTCAGGCCGCTTTCTATTGTTGAGGCCTCGTCGGATGACGTGTCGTCTTCGCTGGAGGAGACGTCGTCGTCGAGCTTGATCTCGCGGATCATGGGCTCGGAGAATCGCTTGCTTGGCGGCCCGGCGGTGGAAATCAGAGGCGCCGACACCGAGGAGGACTTGCCCGGATAGATGCTGTCAATCATGAGGATGCCCGTCACCCGAATCGCGTCGTCCACGGCCAGCTGGCGCGCAATCTCCAAGCTCAGCAGCCCGCCCAGGCTCCATCCGCCGAGCATGACGCTGACGGTGCCGTCGTGGTTCCTCGCCCTCGCCGGGAAGCCGTCCTCCAGCACCGTCTCCCGGATCCATCGCGCGTACAGGCGGCCCATTTCCGGGATCCCGCCCTCGAAGACATCGCCGGTGTAGAAGTGCGGGTTGTGGATGCCGTAGACGTAGCGGCCCAGGACCTCGAGGCAGTGGTAGGCAAAGGTGGTGCCGCCGCCGTCGTGGATGAGGAAGACGGGCGTGTTGAAGGAGGGCTTGTCGGGTCGTGCCCAGTCCTCGGGCTGGACCAGCTCCGGGTTGGCAGCGCGCATGGTGGGCTATCGATAAGAGCTGCTGCTGATCTGCAGAGACTTGAGCAGCTGTATGTTCAAGTTGTCGGCCTAAGAGATTGTAACTGGAACAAAGACGACAAGCTGGCGAGGAGAATAGCCGACAATAACAGTAACAACCTGGATCTCAGTGCGCAAGGAAAACAAGAGCTAACCGACCAGATCCGATCTGAAGAGAAAGACGAGACAAGCACAGACAGAAACGTCCAGTTGCCCTGCACGCAATCTCTCGGCTTCTTCCCCAGGGACCCCCCAGGAATTTAGCTCGCTTATCAGTGGATCTCGCCGCAGCCGTTGTTGGGGTTCGAGTCTCAACGGAATTCTGCACGCCTGCAGCAGTGAATGCCGCGATTGGCCGAGGAAGAGAAACGACAGACAGAAACAGACAGAACTGCCTTGATGCCCCGAGGTCTATTTAAGAAATAGTCCGGGGGCCAAGGGAAGTTGTGTTTGCTTATTCGGCGAATTTTGCTTGGAGCAGCGGTACCTGTAGAGGTACGGAAGAGGCGAGGCGAGGGAGAACGCACTGGCGCGGTAAGCCGGCGATTCATCTCACGGACCAAAGGGAGTGCTGTATTGGGGAACAGACAGATATTTGACGTAAACCATCGAACTTCTGCTTGATCAATGCTCTCTTTTGTTGGGTCTGATGCAGGTGACACTTGATCTTCCTGCGGGGGAGCCAGATGATGTAGATGAATAGACAAGTATGAGACAAGCGGGGAGGTCAAAGAATGCAGAGGAAGAAGCAAAACCACCAAGCGGAGAATGACGACTCGACCGAGCCCTACACTGAAGTACATATATAAGCACTCGGCAAAGCCTGAATGGGCTCGTTCTCGGACAGCCAGGGATCTATCTGGCTTACACAAAGTTACGTAGCCTGTGCCTGTGCCTGCGCTCATGGCTTGACTGTCTCTGGTAGGGATTGATTAATCATTACACCCTCAATCTTCATCCAAAGTATGTGTTGCAAACGGTAATCGATGGCCCTTGTGTGTGCGGATCCAATCGAACTCTGCCGCACCATGTGCGAGTCTTCCCGAAAAAGATCCCGGATCTACCCACGTCGCCTGTGATTGGACACAATGAACAATCTCTGCCTTATGCATGCATACAGGACCTGTGAGAATCTACACAACTCCGACGAATTAAACATTCGCACAGCCACAGATTGTGAACATCGACAGCTCATCTTCCGTCTGTTATCAACATTCCCATGCGTCACGCCGCATGAAGCAAGGCATCGATCGGAATGCACCTCACCCAACAAGATAGTAGTACTTTACCTCCAGTCTTCATCTCCATCATGCATGTGGCACCCTCTGTATGAATTTCTCCGTCAAAGAAACCAATCTTCACCCGTCCTTTGCTTATTCAAGGTCTACAACATACGTATTACCCGTTGCTAGTCCTCGGGATTACGACATAATACAACATGTCCAGGCAGATTCCGCGATTCCGGGACCATCGCGGGTGACACAGATCCTTCTCGCGGGGAGTGCATGATTACTCGGGAGGTAATCAATGCCCCGGGGCAGAATACGGGCTGCTGTGCTTACCCACCCGCCCGTCTTGTCTGTTTTACCCCCAGACGGCCTCGCTTCTAGAGGTAGTGGTAGTAACTCCGTACATAGCAGCATGGAACGAGGATTCCGATTCCCTAGCTGCAGACAAGCCGACGCCTCCGGAGTTGGAGAAACGCCGTGACTGGTTGGAATGGCCATAAGGATTGCTCCTTTGGAACAGCGCTTCGCTCGTGTGGGTGTGCTGGATCGCCGTCACATGAGATAAGGCACCGGAGTGTCAAAGACAGGTACGAGGTCGCCCGGAGTAACATTCAGAGCGAGGTTACTATAAGTGAAGAAGTAGCATTGCCTTGCGACAAATGCCACCGTATCAGTTGCTGCTACCAGGACACGTGGGTGTCATCTGATCTTGTCCCAGAATATTCTCAGACATATTCTGATGCTTTGTGCCATACATGTCCGTACAGTAATTCTTATCGAAGTGTAGATAGTATACAAGGATCCTCGAGGCTTAGCTTCTTCGTCTCGTGGTGATATCATGACCGGCAGACCTCCGTCATCCTACCGCGGAGTATCTGCTTCGGGTTCTGCCAGATAGCCATGTAGCCTCCACAGCAGCATGTGCAGCCTCATCATGCTCGTGCTCCCCCATTGCTTCAGCACGAATATCTCTCCCTCTCGAAACAGCTCGGCCGACTCCCTCAGCCGCTGCACCTCCTGCTCGCCAAGCAGCCAATACAGGTTATGCACAACCATCTTCTTCCCGTATTGGACTCCCTCGATATCCAGCGTCGCGTACTGACGTGCGGCGTCTTTCTTTTCCGGCAGCCAAAGCACGCAACCCCGCAGCTTGACTCCTTCGACATCCTTCCAGCTGGCGCAGGGCTCGATGAACCTGTGCTTGTCTTCGTGTGACTGTAGCCTGTTGCCACGAAGAGCTAGCGCATCAGTTGCCTGTTGACGCATCATCTGCAGCAGCACATCGCCCATGTCCTCCCTCCACACTGCATCCCGACTGTCGGGGGATATAGCCATGCCGCTTCGGACCGCCAGCAGCACGGAGAGGTATTTCTTGTTTCGCCCGCCAATCATGTCAACGAGCGGCTTGCGGTTCAGCGTGTAGCTCGTGATGGGTGCTCTGCGCGGCCGTCGGACATCCTTCTCGGAATCCGCAGTGTCGTCTTTCTGGCCTGCTACAGGGGCTGATCGGGGGTTCCTTGCCGAGGCCTCTCCATCGAGCCCTTTGCTGATGTCGGGCTCTTCCTCGTCGAGTCGTTTCGTAGGCTGGACATGCTCAAAAGCTAACGGGCCGGGAGCCCACCACGCCTTGCCGGTGGTTGGGTGCTGTATCAGCTCAAAATCTTGTAGGAAGTATCGCGGCAAGCTGGTGGCGGTGTTGGGACATCTCCGTACTGGCGTAGCGAGTGCCTGTGCTACTCCTAATTAGCTTCTTCTTTCTCTTTGTCAATAGAATCGAGCTGGTCATACCAAAAGGGTTATTCGCCAGCTTCCGTCGAAACCGGCCAAGCGGAGGGCCAGGAGCAGCTTTTGCAGTCTTCCGCCTGGCCTGCATCCATGCCGGATCGAATATCGGTGAGATGGGAAGATCTCCTGCAGCCGTTGCTATCGTCTTGGCCTCGGCATCGATCTTGAGTGGCTTGCCGTCCGCATCGCGTCCAAGGCCAGCTTCGACTTTCTGTAACAGGGCCTCTTTCGTCAGAGAGGCTTTATCGTAAGAGTGCCATCGTTTAGCTTGGTGAAGACTCGATGCCCCAAAGCTGCTTGGGCGGAGCGCCGTACATCGTCTCATCGCCTATCAACCGCGTGCCAAAGAATCATGTCGCATAGGTGGGAGATCGGAGTCGTCCGAAGCTGTCCGAAGCGCATGCCATCAATTTTCGAGTCGACGCGATAACGACGATAAGCCCTACAGTGCTAAGATAATGTGGGGAACCGGCCATAGCATCATGACATCTGCCGTCTGCACCTTTGTAGGCAAGCTCTCGATTCCCTACTTGGCATCTCACAGCTGTTTTCCGTTACACATCGCCAAAATGTTTCGACCCAGATTGTTACCACGGCTGCGGGCGCTGCCAATGCGCCATGCGCGATCCTTTGGCTTCTCCAGCTCTGCCAGCTCCGCCCCCTCGATGAACATCCCCATGCCGTACATCGAAGAGACATCAGTAAGCGGCAGCATCAGCTCGGTTGCCATGGACATGGGCTAAAAGGGAGCAGGCAACGGGCAGGAAAACATGTACGCTCTTCAAGGGACTCGTTTTGGGGTGATCAATCAGCTTACATGCCCAAGGGGACATCTTCTCCAAGCTTCTACAGGTGCCTCTCCATTAGCCATCGCGACCGTGGTCTTTACAATCCCTAACGAGCCCAGCAACGAATAATATGCTTGAATGGCGAAATCGACGACTACATGTCCGCCTCAATAGTCGCCCAGCTCCTCTGGCTGGAATCAGACGCTCCCGACAAGCCGATTACGATGTATATCAATTCGCCAGGTGGCTCCGTTACATCAGGTGCGTTCCCCCGGCTTCACAGCGCGGTCGCGATCGCAAAGGTTTACAATGGTTAGGCATGGCGATATACGACACGATGACTTACATCTCATCCCCCGTCGCGACCGTGTGCATCGGAGGTGCGGCGTCCATGGCAGCCATCCTGCTGGCCGGTGGCGCGGCCGGCCAACGGTGTGCTCTCCCACACAGCTCCATCATGATCCATCAGCCGCTGGGCGGCACCCGAGGGCAGGCATCGGACATTTTGATCTACGCGAACCAGATACAAAGGATACGGGAGCAGTCCAACCAAATCATGCGCTACCACTTGAACAAGGCCAAGGGATTCGACAAGTATAGCCTGGAAGAGATTAACGATCTCATGGAAAGGGACAAGTATCTGACCGTGGCGGAGGCACTCGAGCTGGGTGTCATTGACCAGGTGTTTACGAGGAGGAAGGACAGGGAGGAGCCAAAGAAGGAGGAGGAGGAGAGGAATTAATCAAACTGCAGTACGTCCTAGTTCAATACTGAAGTGTTGGCCTTAGGAGGCACCAGTAGACATCGCACCATTTGCAAGATGATAATGGCTCATCGTTGCCATGAACGTACTGAATCTCCATGGGAATAGCTTGCAGTGTGTAAATCGCAGACTACCGATCAAGATGCTTTGTCAATTGGCAATGGACTTTGCCTACAATTGCTTTGTAGCTCCCTAAAACATCCTGAGCCGATATCGGCACGTCACAAGCTGGACACCTCCACTGGCAGCTTGGGTCAAGTGGGACAGCTTCATGAGGCCTCTGGATGCATCTGGCCTCTATAATTCTTCCAAGAGTTTCAACATGGCTGCTCAACTTGACTATGACTGTCTCGTGAAGCTCCCATATGCTTGACCAAGAACTGCTTCACGTAAAGCCTCTCAGGTGTTGATATTACTACATGACTCTCCCAGTAAGACACCAGATAATGCACGAAATCCGACCATCTGCCTCTAGCAGGGGATCCGCCCTCTATAACCATCCCCCAGCCAATGAAAGCACCCCCAATTCGATGCTTCAGCAGCTCCAGGGCCCCAGAGCGGGGCAACAATTTTTCCCGGCTGCGATCTCTGGAAATTCTTAGTGGGAGCGTCTGGCTGAGGTGGGAGCAGCTCGGATCACAGGGAACATCATAGGGACAGACCACAATATCGGAGCCTCACGTCAGCCATTGCGGTCCGAATATCTGGGGATTGAACTTTGCAAGAGTCACAGGTACTGCAACTTGGACTTGTATCGATTTCTAAGGCTGCAGTCTGAAGCTTGGAGAGAGATACTGGGAGCTATTGATTGAGTGACAGGTACGTCAGTGTGGGCTTGGAGAAGCTTGTGCCCCAGTGTGCAGGATCCCAAGCTGTGGTTGTTTTGCCCTCTTCCTCTACATGACCTGTCTTGGGAGGCCATTCTCTCTCAAGCAGTTGTTCAGAGCCAATTGTGACGATTGCTTTGTTATTCTCTTTTACAGCGTCAAACGCGACGCGGCTCGTTCGTCCAGCATCCGTCTGATCTAACACCTGCTCCGATACAGGACCAGTCTTGTGCGACATCGTCACGATGCTCTCCCGAACGCTGCTCAGAACCCCGTCAAGGGGCCTGAATGCCCTCTCAAGAGCTTCTACAAGAAACCAGACGTAAGCCCCCAAGCACAGAACCGCAAATAACGAACCGACACGCAACAGCTGCTAACCAGTCATCCCAGCCGGCTGCTGTCGACCTCATCCGCCCGACATGCCGAGGACAAGCTCAACAAGGTCTCCGCCAACATCACACAGCCCAAGTCCCAGGGCGCGTCACAGGCCATGCTCTACGCCACCGGCCTCACAGACGCCGACCTCAACAAGGCCCAGGTCGGCATCTCCTCCGTCTGGTACGAGGGCAACCCCTGCAACATGCACCTGATGGACCTGTCTGGCCTCGTCAGGGAGTCCGTGGCCAAGGCTGGCCTCGTCCCCTACCGATTCAACACTATCGGCGTCAGTGACGGCATCTCCATGGGCACCACCGGTATGCGATACTCGCTGCAGAGCAGAGAGATCATCGCCGACAGCATCGAGACGGTCATGAACGGGCAGTGGTACGACGCCAACGTCAGCTTGCCCGGCTGCGACAAGAACATGCCCGGCGTCGTCATCGCCATGGGCCGCGTCAACCGCCCCAGCATCATGGTCTACGGCGGCACCATCAAGCCCGGCTGCACAAAGGGCGGCGACTCCATCGACATTGTCTCGGCCTTCCAGGCCTACGGCCAGTACATCTCGGGCGAGATCACCGAGGACCAGCGCTACGACATCATCCGCCACGCGTGCCCCGGCAGCGGCGCCTGCGGCGGCATGTACACGGCCAACACCATGGCGACGGCCATCGAGACCATGGGCCTGACCCTGCCGGGCAGCAGCAGCAGCCCTGCCGAGGACCCGCGGAAGAAGGCCGAGTGCGAGAGCGTCGGCGCCGCCATCCGGAACCTCCTCAAGGAGGACATCCGGCCGCGCGACATCCTGACCCGCCAGGCCTTTGAGAACGCCATGATTGTCACCACCATCCTGGGAGGAAGCACCAACGCCGTTCTGCACCTCATCGCCATTGCCGACTCCGTCGGTGTCAAGCTCACCATTGACGACTTCCAGGCCGTCTCTGACCGCATCCCCTTCCTTGCCGATCTGAAGCCCTCCGGCAAGTACGTCATGGCCGACATGCACCAGATTGGCGGCACCCCCGGCCTCCTCAAGTACCTCCTCAAGGAGGGCCTCATCGACGGCTCCGGCATCACCGTCACTGGAAAGACGATGAAGGAGAACGTCGAGAGCGCCCCCGACTTCCCCACCAACCAGGACATCATCCGCCCCCTCACCAACCCCATCAAGCCCACAGGTCACATCCAGATCATGCGCGGATCGCTGGCCCCCGGAGGCTGCGTCGGCAAGATCACCGGCAAGGAAGGCCTCCGCTTCGTCGGCAAGGCCCGCTGCTACGACGCCGAGTCCGACTTCATCGAGAGCCTGGAGAAGGGCGAGATCAAAAAGGGCGAAAAGACCGTCGTCATCATCCGCTACGACGGTCCCAAGGGCGGCCCCGGCATGCCTGAGATGCTGAAGCCTTCGTCCGCCATCATGGGCGCCGGCCTGGGCAAGGACGTTGCGCTGCTGACGGACGGCCGCTTCTCGGGCGGCTCGCACGGCTTCATCATCGGACACATTGTGCCCGAGGCCATGGAGGGCGGTCCCATTGCGCTCGTCAAGGACGGCGACGAAATCACCATTGACGCCGAGAAGCGCATCATCGACCTGGAGATTTCCGAGGAGGAGATGGAGAAGCGGAGGAAGGCGTGGAAGGCCCCCGAGCCGAGATATACAAAGGGGACGCTGTCCAAGTATGCCAAGCTGGTGAGCAATGCCAGCACGGGATGTGTCACGGATGGTGCGATTGCGTAAAGAGGGTTTGGGATGTGTTATCATAAAAAGGGGGCTTGTGGTTTGTGGGATGTATGATGTTTTGTGCATGAGGAGTTTTTGCTTGGATATCCGGATGGATTGGCCTGAGAGGGTCGAGTACTTTTCGTCTATATGTAACATGTCAAAGAAATCCTGATATAACACTTGTGAGCACATGCTTATGTTTTCGATGATCCATATGACTGGCAGGACACATACAGCCCGAGATGTGACAAACAAGTCTCATCAAGAAGCCAGAATGGAACGCGATTCCTGCTATAATGCATCCTATCTCGTACAAAGTGCATGACGATGCAAATACATGATACAGTGTACAATCCCTCAATAACCTACAAAAACCCTTGGCCCAGCCACATATCCCCCATTCCAATAGACGCCTATTTCCCAGTCCACGCCTTCACAAACGCAGCCTTGTCCTTCATCGTCAAGCCCACCCTCTTCACCCTACTCAACCTCGCCAGCGCCTCCCCTATCCAATCCAGCAACTTCTGCTCCTCGCTGCTAATCCCACCACTAGATCCACCCCGATACGTCAACTCGCTCGACCCTGCGCCGTTGGAACTCGCCGCAGCCTTGTTGGTCTGCCCCTCGGCGATGCGCACGCGGATACACGTCGTCGGCCGAGAAAGCAGTATCCACAAGAAGCGCATCCACTGCCCCGGAAGGGGCGTCGTGACCTCGTTGGGCGTGTAGCGGAGGCTGACGGGGAAGATGTGCACATCGGGGGGAGTCTGGAGAATGCTTGGGCTGAAGGGCAGAATGGCCTTGCCGTTGGTGGTGCCGCATTCGGGGAACACGGCGATGACGCGGTTGGGGTATTGCGCAATGAGGTCCTTCAGGTCGACCAGCTTTGCGCCTTCAGGAGGACCAGTGTTGACTGGTGCGAGCGCCATCATGATGGCAGACAGCAGTCCTATCTTGCGAACTTTGCGCTCCCCAGGGTATGAGACGGTAAAGACGGGGTCGAATATCGCGGCGAGGTAGACGGCGTCAATCGGGCTCGTGAAGTTGGCGGCGATGACGGAGCCAGGATGGGGCACCCGTTCGCGCGGCTGCTCGGAGAGGGTGCCGCGCTTGACGCCGTCGAGCTGGAGGTCGATCCACCAGATGCCGGGGATGGCCATGAGGCCCCATAGCGCGATCTTGCGGGCGAAGACGGGCAAGGGGAGGGGGTGGAAGAGGATGAAGTAGCCGAGGGCGTAGGTGAGGAAGATGGGGAGGCGGACGAGGAAGAGGAGGGCGTGGGTGAGGGTCGAGAGGGGCGAGCTGGTGGAGGAGACGGGGAGGAAGGGCGCGATGCCGGTTGCTTTTTTTGGGTATAAGTCAGTTGCTTGCGCCTGTACGAAGGGGATGGAGAAGGGGTTTACCTCTGTCGCGGAACTGGCTGTATTTCTCCATGGTGACGGGAGGTGAGGAGGGAGTCTGCTTGTCGTGTTGGCGCCGTTTGATGGCGGCGTGGTTTGGATGTCGAGTTCAAATGGAACAGCGTGGCGTTATCGAGACATTGAAGACGAGAAGTCGAGAGGACGGAGTGTTTCTCCCCCCTGCACTTGGTAAAGTATGAGAGAGTAGCACAGAGTTAGAAAGAAGAGGCGATGTATCTCCTAGAGAGGTACTGCAGCGGTAGAAGATGTTTCGTGTAGAACTGGAGAAGCTTGCTTCGGAGAGGTCTCCATAACTTGGGGTTGACTTGTGATGGTTTGGAGGTGGGATTACCTCAGCAGCGCTGCTTTTAGGATAGTGGGGTGTTTATGTGTTGAGATTGAGAACAAGTGAGCAATATGGCCTGATTATCTAGAGCATGAAATAAAATTCATCATCTTGTCCTCAGCATATGTATAATCGAATTCCGATAGTCCGTCATATGGCCTTTCTACACCATGGGAGAATCAGGTGCTCTTGCTTGCTTCAACGGAGATCATAAGCCACCAGGACTTGGGCCTCGTTTGCCTTCACATGCACCGAACTCTATCATCAGCCTATCAAGAGAATCTCCTTCAACTACCTACTATTAGAAGAGTCCCTTCAACTTGAATATGCTATCCATTGACGTCTATGAAGATACATATCACCAAGAGACAGAATGCAGCATTATAAATCCACAGCAACGACTGGCGGCTGGCATGTGAAATTGTCTTCTCCCTTGAAGCGGCGGCAGCACTAGGCTTCTTTGGATGAGTTAAGCCCGGTGCTTGGTACGACATGCGACCACCTTCAGGTCCGAGTCGGCGAACGACGTCACGACTTGACATGTGAAATAAGCTGATTGCCAAGGGTGGTAAGCTGTCGATTGACGAGAAGGGGTATTTGGCGGCCGTCCGTGATACTAATGTACTCCGTATATTACAGTGGGGGTTGTTTTGTACTGCGAAAGGGAGAAGATTGCACGTGGTGATCCTGCTCGAACAGAGATGTACTTGCAGTATTCTATTAGCACTTTAGCAGAGATTTCGGCCTCTCCAAGTGATAATCTCATGCTATGGCCATGCTTCGCAACTGTATAAGCTGCAAGCATTGCTAATTCTTTTGACCGTTTTCCTTCTGAGCATCACGACTGAATGGCATGTTAGGTAGAAGTTGCTAAGAGTCTGTGTAAGACGGCGCCACATCTCCAACTCCAGCCACAGTTGCAGCCACCGTTGCCCGGCCCACGGATACTACTAGGTAAACAAACGGAACATTCAATGCCTGACCTTCTCCACACTGAGACCACAGAGGTACCTTGACTCGCAAGTCAGCAGCTGGCGCCTCCATCCACATCAACTGCAAGGTCAACACACGAGACAGGGGACGATTTCGAGGTCCATCCCGCTCTCTTGGGCTCCTTTCTTCAACTGCATCATTGTTCCAACTACGTATTCCTGCCGCGCAGCGCTTTCGACTTGACGGGGCGCTGCTCCCGTTCCGACGCGATACCCCGGCTTTTCGGCTTCTTTGTTTATTTTTTTCCTCCTCAACGATTTCACAATTTCAGGCATTGTTACAATGGAAGCTACAGAGAACCAGGTTCGCGATGCCGCAGAGCCAGAGCCGCCACCGCATAGCAGAGCGCCAGAAGCTGACAGCGCGCCTCAACAGCCCACGCGGCCCTCGAAAATCAGTCGCTTGCCGGGGCCGACGACGACGGTGCACGGCGGCGGACTGACCGAATGGAGCGAGTCGCAACAGAATGCCCGATTGCAGTCTTCGATCCCCGCGCCACCCTCAACGCGAGGGCTGAAGCGCGAGCTGCCACAGTCTGGTGCGAGCGATGGATGCGCCTTCACTGTATCGCGGTGTGCTAACGTCTGGCAGCGGTGCAATCCGAGTCCAAGCGAAGACCCCTCGCCGAACGTGCGCTCGACTATCCGTCCAAGATTACTTCGACTCCCCGAATCCCCCGATCCGCGGTCAAGGGCCAGACCTTGGCCAGCATCTCCCAAGTGAGACATCCAATATCGAAGGGGGAACGTAGTTGGTTCAACTGCTGATACTCGGTCATAGCTCAAACCACCACGACCCGTCTCGTCCACCTTCAGCTCTTCAGTAAGCAGCAGCTTCGCCAAAAGCTTCGGCCCCGAACGAACCGGCGCGGCAGAGAAGCCGTCAATCGCCAGACCAGTCACCCGAGCCAGCCATGCGAGATCGAAAAGCCAGGCATCGACACGACCCCGTACGGCACAGGGCTCTCGAGAGGAGGAGGAGGACCTGGATGCGGCGGAAAACAATGGTATGACCGCCTCCGAACAGCTCACCAGCATGACTTTCAACGCGCTTCCCAACCGCAAGATGAGAAGTACAAAGTCTTCGTCTACGCTCTCCTCTACAAGAGATAGCTCTCTGACGACGAGATTCCACAAGCTCTGTCTCGAGGAGGCCGGTTCCACTCACAACACACGTCAAGTGACGACTCTGCTTTCAGACACTACATCTGCTTTAAACAACATAACCATCCACCGTCCCGGCCATGAAAAGAGAAGCAGCAAGGAACCTTCATCCGCTATGGCGACCGTGCAGGGAACCTAGGAAGGCCCCTACATGACACCAAGCGATAAGCAGGTGAAGCGGCAGGTTGAAAAGCTTCAAGGATGCATCACTCTCTTCAGGGCCAATTCTCCCACAAAGTCCCCCACCAAGTCACCAGCCCGCTATAACAGTTTCTTGACCAAAGATTCTAACCTCACTGGGTTTGTAGCCTTTGATGTCGACGGTCGAGTCGGCGACATTGAGTCGCAGTTTAAAGAACTGAAAGCCATGGTGGACACAACACTGCTTGACAGGAAGGGCATGGACGATGCACTGGAGCTGGCCAAGAAACGAGGTATGAATAGAGTCAACTCTCAAAAGATGACCGCAGTACTGACATGTCGCCCTTCAGTGTCCGAGTTGGAAAGCGACAAGTCAAGGTTGGAGAGCAAGGCCGAGATATTACGATCAGATCTCGATGCCTCCAGGGAAGAAGGGCGAAAGTTTAAACATGACTTGGAGAAGCTTGAATGGGACCATTCGCGGCAAATTGACGATCTTACCAGAAAGCACCAGGACGAGATAGACGAGCTCTCACGGAAGCACCGCACAGCAATGGATGATCTGACCCGCGAGCTTGAACGATTGAAAACGCAGGAAGCGAACGAGCATCAGCAACAGATTGAAGCTCTGAAGAGGCGGCACCAGCAGGAGTTGGAAGATGAAGTGAAGAAACGAGAACAAGAGCTCCAAACGTTGCGAAGCCAGATGGGGAACGACAAGCAGGAGGTGGAACTTGTTCTGCAGAAGAAGGATCGAGAGTTGCAGGAAGTGCGTTCAGTGGCAGAAGGCCTACGTTCAGATGTCCAGCGCGAGAAGATGCTTACGGGCAGCTTGCAAACGAGCATTTCCGAGCTCTCGGCCTCGAATACAACACTGGAAGCAAAGATCAACTCTCTGCGGTCCCAGGTCGAGTTTCTGGAATCTGACACCAAGGCACAATCTAATGCGTTCACGGCCATGGAAACACGGCTCCAAGATGCGCTCCGAATCGCCGAGGAAGCACGGCAGAAGCTCATCAAGGAGGAAACCGAGCGCCGCGTCCTCTTCAACAAGTACCAGGAGCTCAAAGGAAATATTCGCGTCATGTGCCGAGTTCGACCGCCTCTTGGAAACGGCGAGGGTGAAGTGGCCCAGCTTTCCTATCCCGACGACAAGACCTCGACCGAGATTATGGTTGCCGGACCAGAAGAAAAGTCCAGCCTTGGAGTTGTCCAGCGAAAGAACTATCCGTTCGAGTTTGACCGGGTATTTACGCCCGAGATCCAAAACGGCGAGATTTTCGACGAGATATCTCAGCTCGTGCAGAGCGCGCTCGACGGCTATAACGTGTGTATCTTCTGTTATGGCCAAACGGGATCGGGAAAGACGTACACCATGTCATCACCGGATGGCATGATTCCGCGAGCTACACACATGATTTACGACACGGTGACGAAGCTCAAGGAGAAGTCCTGGGAATACACCATGGAGGGCTCCTTTGTCGAGGTGTACAATGAGGAGCTGAATGATCTCCTGACTCCGAGTGAACGCACCGCAGAAGGACGGCTCATGAGGAAACTGGAGATTCGGCATGATGAAGCCCGGAAGCAGACCTCCATCTTGGGGTGCAAGTCTGTTCAGCTCAACTCTGCCGATACTGTGGAGTTGATGCTGGAGGAGGCGCAGAAGAATCGGTCTGTGGCAGCCACCAAGGCCAACGAACGATCTTCGCGATCTCACAGCGTCTTCATCCTCAAGCTCATTGGCGAAAACTCGGCAACGGGTGAGCGGTGCGAGGGCACTTTGAACCTGGTCGACCTGGCTGGATCTGAGCGCCTGAAGCACTCGCAGGTCGAGGGCGACAGGATGAAGGAGACGCAAAACATCAACAAGAGCCTGAGCTGTCTTGGTGATGTGATTGAAGCGTTAGGAAGGGGCTCGGGCCATATTCCGTATCGAAACTCCAAGCTGACGCACCTGCTACAATACAGCCTGGGCGGAAACAGCAAGACGCTCATGTTTGTCATGGTCTCGCCGTTGGAGACGCATCTGAAGGAGACCCTGACAAGCCTGAGATTTGCTACAAAGGTGAGGCTTTCGATCCTTCTTCATCTAGGTGATGTAGAATGCTTGACTAACATTGACTCAGGTTCACAACACACATATTGGCACAGCAAGAGCAACCAAGAAGATGAAGGGAGATTCATAACGAGGGCCGCCTCGATGAGGGAAACTGTTTCATTCAGCGAAGGAGGCATCGTGTCTGGACTTTAGTGTTTTGCTTTTGGCCTTGTGGGAGTTTACATCTATTTCCAGGGTTCGGGGCGTGGTTTTGGCTTACGACGGACGGTTTGTGACGAATTGATATCAAAAGGGAAGAGTAGATATTGTTAAGGGCAATTGGGTTTGAGGAACGGTTGATCCGGTTGATGCCATTTTGCCCCATTTGATGGAAAGTCGATGATCAGAGATGAGACTAATTCTTTGTGTGAAGTCTACTCCTTATTTTCTCAGGTCATTGAGGCGTCAACTGTGATCAACAAGCAGCATTACATACAATAGCAGTAGCTGAGCAACCTGAGGTAAACGGGGCAAACCATCTCTATGATGCAATGCCCACCGAAGCGAGAGTGACAAAAAGAGGAACCGTGTGGAGTGCGGAGGATGGACTCCTGTCGAATGTGTTTCGATCAGATCCTTTCCGTTCTGCTGTTGTGCTAATATGATTTGCCTTGGCTGATGAGTTCGAGGGGCTTGACGTGAGTATTGCGTGGGTGTGAGATGTGCGGGCTGGTGATGTCATATACCTGGTGCAGCAACAGTTATATAAACGCCTGAGGGAGGGCGATTGAAGACATTCGTTGGACAAGACAACAAACCTTTATTTTGCAATTGATTCTGTTCAGTTACGATTACAACGAATAACAACTTCTTTCTGTAAAAGTTTGACACTCCATTGGTTCAATATGGCACCTACACTTCGAGAGCGAAAGGCTGGTCCTGATGGCACCAAGGTATGTCACTTACACTTGACACCTACAATTACACCTTCCTACCACATATCTTTGCGAGACATCACGACAAAAAAAGACAATTTCACTGACAGCATCATCAAAAAAGGTCACCCTAGGCCAAGACGCCCCCGTAACCCGCGAAGGCCCCGGCGTGGTGCAATCCGAATCGCTCGCCGCCCAATCCCTCCACTCCGGCGGCGAGTTCTCCAACAACCGCTCCTCCGAGACGGAAGCCATCTCCGGCTCGGACCTCAAGACGCAAGCCGGCCGCGGCGGCGAAGACTCCAACGGGGCGCCCGCGCCCAACTACGTGGTGGACCAGTACCTCACCGGCAAGGGCGGCCCGCACGGGAAGAACATCAAGGAGGGGATTGACGAGTCGGAGCTCAGGGGCAAGGAGAGCGATGGGCTGCAGAAGGCGCTGAGGGCGGAGCCGGGGAGCGAGAATGATCCGAGCCGGTTGGCGGAGGAGAGGATGCTTGAGAGGGATACGTTGAGGGCGGAGGGGAGTGGGCCGAGACAGGGTGGTGTTGAGGGGGGGACGAAGTATGATGGGTTGGAGAATGAGGTTTCTTCGTGATGGGGGGATGGTGATGGGTTAATGAAAGATTGTTCAATATGTATAATGAAAAGTTCAAGGTATTCTCCTGGAGAATTTACGACCGGTGACCCATGTTCATGCGAGAATGGAATGACTAGAGTGTGGTGATGGCATGGATGGAGCGAGTACCCGGTGATACGTTGCTATGCTGCGCCTTGGGATTGCGTGTATCTGGAGTAGCACAGCACAAACAGTACCTTGTATTAAAGAGAAGTGTTAGGTTAATCAAACAATGAGTAATTACACAGCGTCTTCTGCTTGTTAATATGGGCACATCAACCTTAACCTGCTGCCTGCTCTCCGCGGTTTCTGAGTTAGTCCCCGCCACTTCTTACATGGCAGAGGCCAAACACTGAAACGGGCGGCTAGGCACCAGCATTTCGCCCTGCCGAGCATTCCACCCATAACAAGGTACATAATAGGTATGGTCACTCGGTTGTGGACGGTATATAGCAGTGGGAGGCGCCTTGATGTTTCCAGCACTCGCTAGTTATGCACGAGAGAATAGGCGCTTTCGAGAATGACCAACATCTTGTAAGGAGCTATATGGCGGATAAATATGGGTGGCTTGAGCTGATGATGGTGTAAAAACTTAGATGGCTTCGTCATTTGTTTGATCGGATTCACTCTCGAGTCTCTACCTTCCGAGAGAGCCATTCTCCTCAAACCGACAAGGCGCTTCACATTGACGAGTACAGCCGTCATCACGCAGACATGTCGGATATACCAGAGGAAAAGTCATCGCTTCGGCCACTACGACTAGAGGTTGATGCAAGGCAACAAACCAACTCAAAGGTCTCGACAACGGGGCAAGATCGAAGAGAAGGGCCGAGAAGTACGAACGTGCCATCGGAGCAGGATGTTCACGCTCAAGAGATGGAGCATCAGCGGTACGGAGAGGCGCAACCGCAGCTGGTGCCGACGGACGTGATTGAGATGATGCTTACGAGCACGGCCAAGGGGCGAAACAAGGACGGTCTCGACAACACTCACCAAACACAAGAATGATATCCGCCACTTGCAGGGAACACATGATAGATGTATATGGAGGAGCCGGCGGAAATGATACCAAGGAGAGAATGTTGATATGGTTTGTAGGTCTTTTGTTTTGTTCGAAATTGCCACATTTGGCAGAGGTACAGGGTAGGACAGAGATTTGAGAGCCTGTGGTGGACCCGCTTTTTGGAAGGCGAAGGGGTGACGTCAAGCTGCTTGAAGGTTTTTGGCATGTGCGAGGAGGAATCTATTCAGACTTTTGGGGAAGGTTGGCCTGTGATTTACGGGGTAACATGCCCGAGAGATGGGAAAAAAAAAGCTGAAAATAATACCTGAAGGCAGTCACTTTCTATATCACTTGGACGCACAACTGGTATTATCGGTCCTGCATTCTCAAGGCAAGGCTCACCGTAATCGCAGCAGTTTATGCCTTAGCTTGATGCCTGACTGTGGCGCCCCTTATCGGATAATCAGCGAATTCTGATACGGCGAGGCCCCACCAACCAATGCGCAGAAAAGAAAAAAATTCACCCCGCCCAGAGCCAAACAATTTCAAGGCCAGCGGATTCTTTCAGCCAGGAATCCATTTCGCCTGCTTCTTTTCTCTTCCATAGCAAAACAACATATTCAGCGGCTGTTGAATATCGTCTCTGGGGCAAAAGCAATTGGGATTGCTTTTCAGTTTTTCTACTTCTTCTTCTTCCCCCCTTTCCTTTCTCAGAAGAAGCAAACGTCCCTCACTCTCTTTTTCTGTTTTCCCCTCCATCTTTTGAAAACCTCCAACACAACACCCGCGTCATCACTCCAGACCGCCACGATGCCTCCCTCATCCTCCAAGGAGAAGCGACTCGCGAAGAAAGCCGAGAAGGCTGCTGCCAGCGGTAAGAAGGTCGGAAAGCTGGGTAAGAAGGAGCCCGAGCTCGACGTCCACGGAAACCCCATCCAGGACACCGACGGACCCGCCACCACCGATGACAAGCTGGACGAGGTGAAGCGTCTGGCCGACCAGATGGACCAGCACGGCATCTCGGACCGCGTCACCACCGGCGTGCTGTCCTCCACCCAGCAGAGCAAGGACGTCAAGATCACCAGCTGCTCCCTCGTCTTCCACGGCCGCGTCCTCATCACCGACTCCACCCTCGAGCTGTCCTTTGGCCGCCGCTACGGCCTGCTGGGCGAGAACGGCTGCGGAAAGTCGACGCTGCTCAAGGCCATTGCCGCCCGCGAGTACCCCATCCCCGACCACGTCGACATCTACCTGCTCAACGAGGGTGCGCCCCCCAGCGAGCTCGGCGCCCTGGAATGGGTCGTCAAGGAGGCTGAGAACGAGATGGAGCGTCTCGACAAGCTGGCTGAGAAGCTGCTCGAGGACGAGGGCCCCGAGAGCCCTGTCCTGATTGACCTCTACGACGTATGTTCCCTGATTCTTTCGTTTTCTGCCGCTCGAATGCTAACAATCCCCTGCAGCACATGGACAAGATGGACCCCTCAACCTTTGCCACCCGCGCTTCCCTCATTCTCACCGGTCTCGGTTTCAACAAGAAGACCATCCACAAGAAGACCAAGGACATGTCTGGTGGCTGGAGAATGCGTGTCGCCCTGGCCAAGGCTCTCTTCGTCAAGCCCTCGCTGCTCCTGCTCGACGACCCCACCGCTCACTTGGATCTCGAGGCCTGCGTGTGGCTGGAAGAGTACCTCAAGAAGTGGGACCGAACCCTGGTCCTGGTTTCTCACTCCATGGACTTCCTCAACGGCGTGTGCACCAACATGATTGACATGCGCGAAAAGGCCCTCATCTACTACGGTGGTAACTACGACTCCTACGCCAAGACTCGTGAAGAAAACGAGACGAACCAGATGAAGGCCTACACCAAGCAGCAGGAAGAAATCGCCCACATCAAGAAGTTCATCGCCAGCGCCGGTACCTACGCCAACTTGGTCCGACAGGCCAAGTCGCGCCAGAAGATTCTCGACAAGATGGAGGCCGACGGCTTCATCCAGCCCGTCGTTCCCGACCGGGTTTTCACCTTCCGATTCGCGGACGTTGACAAGCTTCCCCCTCCCGTCCTGTCCTTCGACAACGTCACCTTCTCCTACTCTGGCAATCCAGAGGACGACCTGTACCGCAACATTGACCTCGGTTTCGACATGGACTCCCGAACTGCCCTGGTCGGCCCCAACGGTGTTGGCAAGTCGACGCTGCTGCGCCTCATGACTGGCAAGCTGTCGCCCACCGGCGGCTCCGTCAGCCGCCACACCCACTTGAAGCTCGGCCTGTACTCTCAGCACAGCGCTGAGCAGCTCGACCTGACCAAGTCTGCGCTGGACTTTGTCCGAGACAAGTACAAGGAAAAGTCCCAGGACTACCAGTACTGGCGCCAACAGCTGGGCCGCTACGGTCTGACCGGCGAGTCCCAGACCGCCCTGATGGGCACGCTGTCCGAGGGTCAGAAGAGCCGTATCGTCTTTGCTCTGCTGGCCATTGACAGCCCCAACATGCTGCTGCTTGACGAGCCTACCAACGGTCTCGATATTCCCACCATTGATAGTTTGGCTGACGCCATCAACGCCTTCAGCGGTGGTGTTATTGTGGTCTCCCACGACTTTAGGTGAGTTTTGCCTCAAACCCCTCGGTACTCAAATAAATGCTAATACGTTCCTACAGATTGCTTGACAAGATTGCGAAGCAGATTCTGGTCTGCGAGAACCAGACCATTCGACAGTGGGACGGCACCATTGGCGAGTACAAGGACTACCTTCGCAAGAAGATGATTACGGCTGGTGCCGTGTAAAGGGGACGCAAGACGAGCAGCAGATTTAAAAGTGCATATTGAAATCGCTTATAGAACGGATGATGAATGACAGGGATAGGACGGCGGCTTCATGGGAACAGGATGTCACACGCGGCAACGAAAAGCCATCATAGAAGATGGCGCGCTGACAAGTTGCAGCAGAAAGAGTGCGCATGAGCACGGCCGCGATACCCTAGAGATGCAGGATGCATGCATTCATGATCAGTGTTTTTTGTTTTTTCAATTTTCAGTTTCTACGGGATAGACTTGGTAGTATCATTTGAGATTTCTTCTTGGGTTTAGCTACTACTAGGTTTGAATGGAGGTTTAGGCTGAATCAAGAAATTGTCCACCTGATGCTTTGGTGATAGATGTGTGATTGTTACACTTGTCGACTGTGAACCCTTACAGTTGTAAATGTCGGCGAATGACTCACTTGGCCGAAAGAAGCAGATCAGGGGACTGTAGTAGATATTTGTTATGGATTCTGATTTTAATGGCATTTTCCCGTTTGGTGGAATGTACGCCCTTTGAGAGGGTTATGCCAGCTTTTAGTGGCAATATTGACATGTTTCCATATAACCTGTAGTTTTCGACGAGCATGCGCTTTAATTGTAGACGCAACATCACCAAGCGTGCAGCTATCTACACAGCGAATCGTGTTCCTTCTATCCTCTAGTTGCGATACCCTGTGAAAAGAGGGACATGTGAATAAATGGCCTCGATATCGATACGACAAGGCACACCCGCCGACGCATCCTCCATCGCAGACGTGCATTACCGCGCGCAGGAGAAATACCATGGGTTTTACGGAGCCTTTTTCGTGAATAGCCCGAGGGAGATTTTGACGCGAGCGACGGGGTTTGCGGTGCGGAGGAGGGAGAATGTTTATTTGGTTGCTGTTGATGATGCGGACGGGAGGGTTGTTGGGTTTGTGAGGTATGCTGTTAAGGGAGAAGAAGTGAAAGGGACTACTGCCGAGGAGGGGGAGGGTGTGGAGAGAGATGAGGATGAGGAAGAGGACGAGGAAAAGGTTGGCCCGTCGTTGTTTGCGGTCAAGGAGCATTTGAAGGCGTTGTGGGAGGAGTTTGATGGGAAGCAGGGTGCTATGGATGAGTGCTATGAGAAAGCCGCCAATGGACGGAGACATATCTGTTTGTGCTTACCCCCTTTCCCCTCTCTCCTACCCGTCTTATTTCAGTTTATACCAATCTCCTTGATTCCCGGTATTTTTGACGTTGGTTTGGAGATTAGATGGTTGGCTGACGAAATTGTGTCCTAGATATTAATCACTTGATGATTGATCCAGCATACCAACGCAAAGGCATAGGCAGACAACTCCTCGCCGCAGTCCTAGAGAGGAGTGATGAGGAGGGGATTCCGGCGTTTTTGATGTCGTCTGCTGAGTCGAGGGGGTTGTATGGACAGATGGGGTTTGGGATTCTGGGGACGTGGAGGGTTGATAACGGGGCTTGGGCGGGGAGGATTGTGGAGGTTGAGAGGAGGATGGGGATGGATGGGGATGAAGGGTTGGTGGAGGAGTATGAGGGGGTTGGTGAGGTTGAGGATGTTATGGTGAGGTGGGCGAGGTGAGTCCTCCTGGATGGACGTAGTGCGTGATGTTTGCTGTCAGTACCTTGGGCATGCGTGGGAATACGGTGGATGGTAGATGAATGGAGCCGTTGGCGATGTCCGTTTGTATTATATACTGGATATTATAGAGGACAAAAATCTCTTAAGTGCAATCAGTGGTATCCAAGTTTGTTCATTCTTCGTGATCCTTCCTCCATCTGAAAGACTTCAAGGATGGCAAGGAAATGCTTCACGATACCTCGCTCCATCTGAGGGAAGGTACAGTGCTTGATATGTGAGTGCACTGTACGGCTTATACCGAGGGGAGAATGAAGAATGATGCTATCGTCAAAGTGCTGATGAGGAAAAAAAAAAAAAAACCAAAAAAAAAAGGCCATATAAGAGTACAAAATACGCTTAAATGTCACTGCTCTCTACCTACGCAGTGTTATTTGCGTTTTCCCTTCTGGTGGCTGAATGTGACGGGCTTGCTTGGAGGGTATGTAGGCTGGAAGAAGCGTTTGCCTTGGTGGTCCGTGTGCTTTCTGTGGTCCGTACGGATAGAGCACCGCTGCTTATCCTGGCCGTTGAGGCTCTAGGAGAAACCGGGGCAGAGACGAGGCAGCCTGTCAGTTGCAACGACTAGCAGCACAAGGCGCCAGACTAGCGGTTCGAACGATGAGTAGTAGTAGTATGGGGATGGGGTCCCCTGGTGCGCACATAGGAGATGAAGTTCGTCTACGGCGTCCTGGATGCTGAATTCTGCTGATTCTACTGTTGCCTCAATGCTTCCTTGAATAGGACACCGATGCTGCCACCACCTTTCAACTCAAATCGTCCTTGTGCTGAGTGAGATGCTGGTTTCGGATTGATCAAATCCTTCATTCCGTGCCAGGGGACACAACCCACAGCCTTTGCCCGGCGTGTGATTGGCTGAGGGCGGGCAGCTCACGATGCATCGCGATGGAGATGAGGCGTGGCTTCTGGGCTGTATCTTTCGGTTCGTCTCATTTCCTGCGCGATGCCGCCGAGATTCTACGCACCGTGTTTCCACAATCTGCGGGCTAGAGGATATCGGAGTCAAGGAGGAGTTTTGTGTGCTTTGATTGCGGGTTTATGAGGTGGCTTTGAGGAGTGGCGCTGTTGGGGCCGATTTCGTGGGAAAAACAAAGAGGTGGACAGTGCGCTAACTGATTCACTGGAGCAGTACATGTAAGAACAGCAGAGACGAGTCGAACTCTATGTACAGGTACTCCATCTCTGTTAGCACTTATGGAAAGAAAAAGGAATTCAAGTTCAAGAAGCCCTGGCTGGTGTAGATCCGGATCTCCAAACATAGACGGCCCAGGGCGGGCAGCCCGGCTCCAGACTCGACTCGGGCTGGCCAACGCATCCAATCAGTCCATCATCACCACGGGTCTCGTCTTTGGGCTGGGCTGGTGCTGGAGCTGGGCCCTCCCTTTTCCGTAGCCTCTCAATCTCATCTCTCTGACTCTGACTCTGACGCGCACTTGCGTTATCTCCGTCTGCTTCGTGACCTTTGCCACCTGCCATCCTGCGTCTCTGCTCCGTCTGCGCAAGAGGTGCCCCCGTGAAGCCATCGCCATCGTCATCGCAAAATCACCGACGGGGTTCGATTCTGGGCGGCCAAACTGCGCCTTGCCGTGACGTGACTCTAGACTGCTCGACAGCGCCGATAATCAGATTTCTCCCTATCCAAGTCACTTGATCATTCATTTCTTCATTTTCCTCTATTCTCCGCCGCCAGTTTGCGTCGTCGCGAAAGGCACGACGCCCGCGGCTCCTTCGCATCCAAAACTCTCTCGCGCCGCAGATTCGTCATCGCCATCATTCTTTAGCGAGGCTTTTCCTGCCAGCTCTAGCCGACTTTTGTCATCCACCCATCATCCCGGGTCGAGGCAAATCAACCCCATCCATCCATCCATCCATCCATCCCTCCAACGCGATTCCTGGCCACTCTACTTCTCACCCGTCCTGCCAATCCGTATCGTCGCCTGCCTGCAATCGCTTCGACGGATGCCCTCTAGCCGCGAGCGCGTGTAGACACACGGACGAAAGATAGAGAAAAGACGCACGCCACATGGGCTCGTGTGCGTCTACCTAAAG